ATTACTTTATCATTCAAGTGAGGTGATGCCATTGAATACGATACCGAGGAATGCACGGTCCATCACAATGATACACAGCACACAAGCAGTCAGCACACATGTGGAGGTACTGGCGTGGCGGCTTATGACCAGCAGTGAGCGCCTGATAAGGTAGATCCTGTGATGTCTCCATATTTATGAATACACGATTACAGTATGTATCTACAGATATGTATGCATTATTAAGCGTCTTAGAGTGACTTCTTCTCAGATATGACGCTGTATTAAATGTCGTATTTAGATATGTTTTCCTTCCTCCAATTCCCATAATCAACGAGAGGGAAATGCAAAATACTAAGCTGGATTCGCCACTGCGATGTGTGTTTGAATCCCCCGGTATAAGGTCATAAAGAACTTTGTGTTTCTAGAATGTACAAATAATATATAGAGGTTTACGTCAGATTGCACCTATTGAATATATGCGTTATCAGAGCCAGTGTATGTCAGAGCGTAATCAAATCGTTGTAAAAAGTTAGAATGCGCTTTGTCACAATCTTAGGCAAGCAATATTGATCTAGAAATTTTCCCATAGAACGGATCTTTGTTTGGTGTGATGACACACCTTGCCGCCAAGGTCCTCAGTTCTTTGTTATAATAAAACACTTGCCGTCACAACCGTCTGTCCTGTCTGAACACATCTGGTCGTTTTGCTCTCGGCCCTGTTTTGTGGAGAACAACAAGACCGTCGACATTTGCTGTCCTGACTCGCTGTGAAAACAACTGGCAGTCTCATCCCTAGGTCCTGTCTTTTGGTGAAGCACCTAAGTGGCCGACTCGGTTCTCTGTCTTATCATGAGGTGAAACGTTTAAGTGACCCACTTAGTCTGCACTACCTGCCTTAGTACCATTTCTCTACACTAGACTGCGCTCTTTGATACTATATATACAGGATTTGGTTCAAAAAGTTCATTCATAACATATTTTATTGATATTAAACAGTCTCAAAGGGATTGTGCCCAAGTTTTCATAACTTACAAGGCCCTCTCCCGCTTCTAAAATACAACGACAAGTCCAAAAAGAAATCTGTCCATTTGATTGGCTGACAGGCCAATCACTTACCAAGATGGTATTTGGCATTGGGTCGGTAATCATCGTTTGGTGTGGTATATATACTAGTACCATCGCATTACTATGAACAAATTACGTCCAATCATCGTAGACGTTACGTTACCTTCAATCATCGTAGACGTTACGTTACGTCCAATCATCGTAGACGTTACGTAACGTCCAATCATCGTAGACGTTACGTTACGTTCAATCATCGTAGACGTTACGTTACGTTACGTTCAATCATTTACACATATATGCAACATTACTTAAGGAATGAAAGTTATTTTTTCAACATTCATGAGGTCATAACAACATTGTCTTTTTGGACATATTCCATGAATCGCGTTAGCGATTCTTGGTAAATATGTCCAGAAAGCCAATGTTGTTATGACCTCATGAATGTATTTACATTTTTAAGTGCTTTGAATTTTGCGATGCAAGCATAAATAACAATTATTCCGGCATTGTAATTATATTTGTGCATGGGGGCAACGCAGTAGAGAGAACAGCGTGTTTTCGCGGGAAATTAAAAAACTTCCGGTAGGGGTCCTACCAACAGCATGACAACAAAACAAACAGAATATAGTTCTATTTTCAAATTTAATTTGTAGAACTAGCACACATCGGATATTATTATCATGTACCTTACACACCTCGATCATTTGAGAATTAAAATGAAGCCTATCATGTTTAGTGTTAATCATATTAGCATAACTAAACTACACCTAGGACTGTTTCACGGCGGACGTGTAACAATAACGCCCTGTGCTACGTCATTAAAGTGTATCAATACGCAGTGATGAGGTCACCTGTGTTATGCAAAAATGAATGTCATTTTCGCCAATGGGTCCAAGCATACAGAATGTAAATACTTAAGCATTGAACTGTTTTTGTATGGTATTTATGATCTACTTGAATGACACAGCTTTGCAAGCTTGTTTGATTGCAAAGCTGTGTCATTCAAATATATCATAAATACCATACAAAAACAGTTCAATACTTATATTTACGTTTTCTCTGCCTCTTATGTTCTTTTTTAACTTATACTTTATATTTAAAATTAAAAATGACCGCCTTATCGACAGTCCACACAATTTCGTTCAATAGTTCGATTTTTCCCCGGAACAAATTCTTGCATGGACAAATACAGTGAACACCGTAAATCCGACCTTGCCCTCCACGAGGGAGTTGTTTTTGGAAGTTAATTCGAACTTTTCTCTTTGCTCATTTTGTGAAGAATCCAGGCGTGAATGTATTTGTTGATTGTATGGGAACCTAACAACAGTCGGTAGATTCTATAACAGACTCGTTATTTGACATGTCGTCAGAAACTGAGGAACCGTGGATACGAGACGCGTGAAACTGATAGCGTTTGAAGTGAGTGATCTTACGACGGAGCACAGGTTCGTTACAAATGTCTGAAATGTTTATGTGTGCTGTGACTCATATCAGTAGGTCTGTAACATATGTGTCCGTAGGTCTATAGAAAATGTGTATTTCAGACATTTGTAACGAACCCCTATTGATCAGTGCAGTGTAACAGACGATATTTCTGATAAATTGCATGAGCGTTAAAAATTGTTTCCATTGCCGGCATTGGTGATTTCAACCGATGTGCATTTTGTACGATATTGGAGACCTTGGTCTTGTTTTCTTTGTAATAAAGGTGTTTTTTTTATTTTATTTTTTATTTTGCACATACACAATGACATTGTCAAATCTCACAATGCCCAGCGATATTTCAGCAGCCTTCATGTTTATTTATATTGGATATTGTAGTTCCGGTCAGTGTTGTATATAAGCTAAGAATTGTGTCTCGTGATGCAATTGTAATTAAAGTCCCATCAACGACACAGCTTTCAAAGAGGCTATATAGTGACAATGCCATGCAAATGTAAATTTATAGTAGTATTATACACCTTTTCAACAAAAAAACCCTTCTTATTTACATTTAATCTTTATAAACTACTGTGTTAAAAAAATATGATGATTTTCCCCAAAACTCCTGTGTTTTACTAATATTCAAAATTAGATATACAAGGTACTATATTCGCCATTGTATAATTGTTCAAGTAGAGTCGATGTAGCTTATACCTGCATATCTGTCATATAGTCCTAGGAAAAGGACAAAATATGAAGGCACGCGTCAGCTTAGTCACAAGGTTATGCTTCCAAATTAAGCTAGACGCCAGTGTGAAGATGTTTAGCTTTCACACAAGTTGATTTTCCGATTAATTTGATTTCTGTGGTAAGGAGTAGTAAATTGGAAGTAACAGTACAACGGATATGCCGTACATTACGCTATAGCGTCAAAATCCAATCAGATTACAATCAAATTACTCCAAGTGTGACGTGGACCAAACTTTAGAACTGACCCCAGACTCTGTCAGCACCGATCAATACAGAGTATCCAACAGGCTTCTCTTAAATATTCTCACTAAGTAGAGTTATAGTCGCCATGTCCGACTATACTCATCATCATCATCATCATCATCATCATCATCATTATTCTGTATTGTTCAAATTACATTGGAAAGATTGATGACATTAGAGAAACAGAGCGTTAAAACATGACATTTTTATCTTGATATAGTTTATAATTACACGCAGCATTAATGAGTAATACATGACATATTTACCTCGATGTAATTTATAATACACGGAGCACGAGCAATGCATGACATTTAGCTCGATATACATTTATCATTTCACGGAGCACGGGTAATACATGACATTTATCTCCAGATGATTTTATTATTTCACGGAGCACGGGAAATACATGACATTTACCTCGATATAAATTTATCATTACATGGAGCACGAGCAATGCATGACATTTACCTTGAAATAGTTTTATCATTTCACGGAGCACGGGTAATACATGACATTAGTCTCCAGATAATTTTATCATTTCACGGAGCACGGGAAATACATGACTTTTATCTCGATATAAATTTATTATTTCATTGAGCACGAATAATACATGACATTTATCTCGAGATAGTTTTATCATTTCACGGAGCACGAATAATACATGACATTTATCTCGAGATAATTTTATCATTTCACGGAGCACGGGTAATACATACCATTTATCTAGAGATAATTTTATCATTTCACGGTGCACGAGTAATACATGACATTAACTCGAGATCATTTTATCGTCTCACGGAGCACGAGCAATGCATGACATTTATCTCGAGATAATTTTATTATTTCACGGAGCAAGGGTAAAACATGACGTTTATCTCAAGATACATGTTATCATTTCGCGGAGCACGAGCAACACATAACATTTACCTCGATATATACATTTATCATTTCAAGGAACACGAGTAATACATGACATTTATCTCCAGATACATGTTATCATTTCACGGAACACAAGTAATACATGGCATTTATCTCGAGATAATTTTATTATTTCACGGAGCACGGGTAAAACATGACGTTTATCTCAAGATATATGTTATCATTTCACGGAGCACGGGAAATACATGACATTTATTTCGATATACATTTATCATTTCACGGAGCACGAGCAATGCATGACATTTAGCTCGAGATTATTTTATCGTTTCACGGAGCACGAGCAATGCATGACATTTATCTCGAGATCATTTTATCGTTTCACGGAGCACGGGTAATACATACCATTTATCTCGAGATAGTTTTATCGTTTCACGGAGCACGGGTATTACATGACATTTACCTCGGTATAACTCTATCATTTCATTGAGCACCAGTAATACATGATGGGAGACACGAGGAAATCCAGATAGTTATGCTCAAACAAAAAAATAATCTGTTGTCCTTTTCGTTCTCAAACTGTTTTAATATAAGGCAGGTCACATGTACCATTTATTGGATTTTTAACTCTTAAACAGTTGTCAATAACTTAATATACTCACCATCCAACATACCACAGCTTTTCTCCATCTCTAAAATCTGCTCGATCTTCTGTCATATTCAAAACTTCTTCTAGAGTTTCAAACTCTGTTTTGTATGGAAAAAACTGACAGTCTTCTTCAACAGCATTTAAAGACCCGTTTATGGATTTGTAGAGATCCCTAAAGAACCTGAAACTGAAGGTTTCCATGGCCGTCCAGTGCTGGGTAGCGTCCTTCACCAGCACGGGCACGGCAGTGTAGGCATACTTCTGTAAAAACTTCTCGGTGGAAATGTTGGTTTCAATAGGAACCGAAAGTAGATTTTCACAAATCTGGCAGTTTGTTTTTGGTCTGGCTATTTCCATCATAAATCCGTTGTTGTCTACGGCACACCTCGAGCCTCTCACCAGCATCGTCATCTCCTCTTTCAGATCATATTGGTGTGCGAGAATGCCCAGAATAGTGCCAAGCAGAGCAATCATGATGACCAGACACCATGTCAGTCTAGTCATCCAAGGGTCCATTCCGGTTTCTACCCGTACAATTTTACCTTGGAATATTGCATGAATTACTTCCTTGTCCAACCCCTTTTTCCTCGCCTCTTTGTGAAGTTCACAGAATTTGTTCAATAATCTAACCTTAACTTCACTTTTTGCATCCATTTTGTGTTCAATCGGGACTCGTATGACTGTTTAATTAATACAGGATTCTGCTAATATAAACGTGTACACAGTTCTGGAACGTTGGACACCTACTACTGTAGTGGGTTCGCTACAGTGTCACAAAACTGGTGTTGAACCTGTGCCACCTGTTAATGGGTGACGTTTGGATGTCCGGTAAATGTCCAAGTGGTGAATTATTAATCAGTGTAAAGGCAAACACAGGTACGACACTGGACTGAGTGTAAAGTCATCTCCTGTGTCACTCCATTGTTAAGGAAGTAAAACTATACCGTGGTGAACGTTGTTATAAACACCCATGTAAGGTACAGTACACATTTACAGTTTTGTATAGTTATAAATAGAGCCGGTAGAAGATAAGCCACTCCCGTGCCATTGGCTGATCCCATCGACCGGATCAGACTTGTCATGTACGTATTGCACCGTACAGAGAGAAATTAAAAAGCCCACGCTTTATCGCTACTTCAGTACTGTCATCACTAACACTACATAAGACACAATTACGGCAGATACAATGATTATACATTCAGCCATGAACATAAGGTGACAATCTATTCATATATATCACATTATCCCTACTCATCATACAGTTAAAATACCACAATCGAAGTGGCTTTACAAAATGTTAGGAAACCACTGTCAAAAATTCTTATATATGATAGAACAGTCACTAAGCCTCATTTTAGTTTCAATAATTTCCCACGGGAAATTTTAACATTTATAGAGGGATAAAAAATAGATACAGAAAACAATTATTTGGCATGTGATCACTAAAAATTTGTAATTTTGTGTTACGGCCCATCGACAATGGAAGTGATTTAGGGCCAAGTGTCAGTTGAGTTGTTAATATTGTAGTTTATATAGTTAAACGTTTAATTAATTAGATCTTTATGTCTAATAACCCTATTGACTACATAAGTATACAGCAGACAAAGGGACATGTTTTTTTTGAAAGTTGTACATTTAACGACAAAAATCGTTAAAGTTTCAAGATTAATACTTCTTTATGTAAATGTCTTTGGAAATGAAATTTCCAGTTACTCGAGGTGGGAGAAAATTGTCGCAAACACAGAAAGACTGATTAGTAAGGTCTTAAAGTAATTAACCTAATTCCGTAGTGTTTGTGTGTGTTAGATAGAGTGAATGTATTTTTCATCTAAGTATTCACCATTCTAATCTAAATATACATAGTTTCTGAAATTTATTTTTACAATGTACTACACATTACTAGTAGAAGTACTTTTAGCAATTCAAAATTGTATGTTGTGGCAGACCCGGAAAGTTCAATCCTTTAATTATTATCAATTAAATTTGTTGAAATGAAAAATACAGTGTGAAACTTACAGGTGGTTTTTCACCAACTTTTCTTAAATTATGCTTTGATGATGATGGTCAGATTTTATTCTAAAGAATTGAGAACCCCTAGGTGCTCATAGGGGGTCACTTAGGGGAGTCGCGAAGCCAACAAAGGGCTGAAGTTGGCTAACATTTCAATAATCTTCTTCCTCAGATTCAGAGCGCAGGGACCTGAGAATTTGCTCCAGCTATATTTTGACCAAAGCTAAAGTCTTAAGAGTAATTTTACACGTTTTAGGTGTTTAGATACAAAAAAAACCGCTTAGGTCCAAATATAGCTGTAACAAGTTAGCAGGTCCTGGGACTCGGAGTGCTAGATATGTGGTTTATAAAAAAAGCGAATTTCATTGATTCCCGGGTCAACCGTTTACCTTCTTTTCCCCCTGGTCAGGGAGTAATGTTAACGATGGTTTATATACGGAATTCATATTATTGAATAGGGCAGACTGGGGAAGGTCAGTCCCGGAGTAAGTCCGGCCACGGGACTTGAGCAAATATTGCCATTTAAGGATCTTAGTCGTTCACTTAACACGAAAAAATGGTGTGAAAACTCAGTTATAAAAATACTATAAGGAAGAAAGATACATTTTGGAGAGTAGAAATTAAGAAAATCATGACCTCTCTCATTGTTGGATTTGCGTTGTTTCCGTAAACCGAATTGCTACTTATTTGTGTCACAAGTGTAACACTGGCATCTTCACATGGTGGTATACATAGCTATAATATACGAATTCACTGGAATATCAATGTAAAACAGGTTTGGCCGCTAGCTGATACCGGGGTAGCACATGGAAAGTCGTGACCGTGGCGGGAAGATCTGACGTTACGTACTTTATGACGTCATACTGCCTGTCCGATCTTGGCCCAAGACGGCCGGGGAATGTTCGGCCATCAAGTTGAATATTTTTTTAAACGCGGACGTGTTTGCCCTTTTGATATTATTTTAAGAAAGGTATGGGATTTCTCTTCCAAATGGTTTGTATGCATATTTTCAATAAATGTCATATTGCCCAAAACAATTTTAATAAAAATGGGCCGAATTAACTTGTCCCGTTCTCCCATAACACTATGTTTTGTTGATTTTCAATGCGATATAATTCTAACTTACTTGGCATTCTCATTGTGTGATGCAGTTGAACTATTCTTCTTTAGGGAAACATTCTACTTTATTGCACTAATATTTTATCATTTAACTAACACAGTATTATATTGAAAGAAGATGAGATCATTATAAGTGACCAAACTGAAGTCAGCAATGTCTTGAACAAGTTTTATGTAAATATGGCCTCTGATATTGGTGACGATGGAGATTCAAAGACAAGTGAGAATGGCATCCTTAACAACATCAGAGGTCACGTTCCAGCTGACCCAAAGTTTGATTTTAACCATGTAACACCAGCTTTTATAGAAAAGGCTATTACTACAATCAATGTAAATAAAGCTATGTGTTGATGGAAAATCATCTAAATTGATAAGAGAATATTTTAACATTTTTGTAAATGACATTGTTTTTATATGTAAAGTCATCAAAACTATACAATTACGCTGATGACAACACTGTAAGTGATACAGAGACCCTCAAGTTTTAAAATCAAATCTAGAAAAAGCTTGTGTACATTTAATGAAATGGTTTGGGCAAATCCTGAAAACTTTCAAGCTGTGCTTTGGAAAGAGATTTGTTAATGTTTGTAAATCTTTTAATATTGTAAATGTAAACCTTGAACCTGAAACAGTAGTAAACTCATTTGAGTACATTTTGACTCTTATGTTAAATTTTGAATTTCACATCTCTGAACTTTGTAAAAAAAAATCACGACAATTAGCTGTTCTGAAGCGCTTAGGACACTTTTTTAACGAAACAAGGTAGGAGTGTGATATGTAATACTTTTATTGTCTCAAATTTTAGTTACTGCCCTCTAGTTTGGCATTTCACCTGTATGAGGAGTATTAAGAAACTTGAAAAGATACAATTTAAGAGCGTACGTGTCCTTCGTTTTATCCACAATGATCATATATCTCCTCTTTTACTGAACTTTTAATATTGTTAAACGCAGATTTTTTACATGTAATAACACTTAAGGATTTCGGATGTGAACATTTTAAAATTCTGAACAAACTTTCACCTGATAACATCCATGATCTTATAAACATAAGTCCATAAATTATAATCTATCGGACAGCCTAGAATGTAGCAGATGTGCCTAGGGTTAGACCAGTTAAAGTATGGACAGATATATTTTACTTTTGAGGCTGCTAGGGTGTGGAACACTCACCCAAATGAGTTCCGGAAGGTAGACACTTTTCCGGGATTCAAGATAATGATCCATACCTGGAGTGGACCCATCTGTAGCTGTTCACTATGATCTAGTCCGGGATATGGATGAGTCCGGGCTAGCACCTCGAGATCTGCTGGCTGAAGTTTTAACACGTTTAGTGCTCAAAATTGGGTGTAACATTTTTAGGTAAACAGACAGATATTAATTTTTGAGATTAATATAATATTTCATTTGATGAATCACATTATACTATATATGTTAACTGTTAGTTCTTTACCATATGAAATGCTGTTTTAATCCGCACTATGTTAGTGTATATCATGTCAATTTTTACCATTTGCTATATTATTAGCATGGATGTATAAAACACTTATACAGGTGTAGAGATAGCGTTTTAACATTCATCGTATTTTTTTTTATATCAATAACTTGACCAAAGTGTCAACTAAGCCTTGTGATATTATTAAAAAAAATGTGCAATTAATTATCTAACCTATGGGACACTACAGTGTGTTTTTTCTGTAAATGTAAAAAAAAAGTCTGTTATAATATTTATAACTTATTACTACTATTACATTATGTTATTGTTAATTTATGTTGTGTTATTGTAGCAATAACAGCTCTCATCCAAGAGCTAATGTTCCATGTTAACACGTATGCGACTTTAATGTAACTAGCTAGCTGAATGTTAAATTGTTCACTCCTCAACAGTCAGAAAGATATCTTTTGTTATATTAAATTTTATTCTTTGTCACCCTTAGGTGACCGTTAAGGAAAGGCCCTTGTTTTATCTAGTATTTTTAAAGAGTCTGACCGGCGACGTTTCTTGTTGCTTGCTGCAAGAGTTATGTCCCGTTAATATATTTTTATCATTAATATCATTACTCGTTCTTTACTCGATTTCTTGTTATTTGATTCGATCTATATAATAATTAAAGCAAATCAGACGTTAGAAAGACATTTGAACGAAGTAAACATATATTTGTTTTTGTTTTGGTTGGTGATTTTACCCAGGATGCACCGCGTAAATAGTTTCAAAATGGAGCACATAGCAATGGTTTGAGACCGGAGAGCATCACAGTATCTAGGGAAACAATATATTTAAGGACATATTCCATGTTTTAACGTCATGCTTACATAGGTATATATGGTAGGTATTCAATCTATTGAACTATTTCTGTCAATAATCACGAATAATTTCTTAAGGACATAACACACGAAGTTGCGTCTAAAGCAACCCCCCCGCCTGTGATAACTTGTAGTACACATGTTTGGTGGTTCTAGTTATGTGTCCTCACGATTCATTTGGTTACCTAGAAAGTAAAGATACAATTTGGGCCAATTAAATTTCAAATATGTTGGACATTAGTCAGAAATGCATTAATGACTTAATAAAATGTAACGGGTTAACTCCAGCAACTACTAAAATCAGTTCTACTGGATGTTTGCTTTTTGCTTCAAGAGATGTATCTGTGAAGTAAAAAGAATATTTTGCAAATTTGAGGAAGACACAGAAGTTGTAATTACAATATGTTTGAAAATCAAAACATTTTGAAGGCTATAGGACTTAATATGTGATATATAATGTGCACAAGCAAATGGTACTCCTATTGTAACAGGGGAAGAAAAATGCACGTCCAGACCAGAATTCAAACCTGGGACCATTCAAACTCTAGATGGTTGCTCTATACCAATTAAGCTACCTGGTCGCTGACAATTGACCCAATCCAGTTCTGCTACATTCCTCCCTCCTTTTTCTAAGTCTTCGCCACCGAAAACACAACTATTTACAACCCAGGCTCGGGTATCCCCGTGCCAAACATACACCAAATGCTTGAGACAAGGGTTGGTCACATGCACCACTGTAACAGGAGAAGAAAAATGCACTGCCAGACAAGGGTTCCAACCCGAAACCCTCCAGACTCTAGACGGACGCTCTACCAATTGAGCTACCTTAAGCTTGTCGTCGACGATCGACCCAGCCCAGTTCCACTACACTATAACATAAGATGCTGTTTGGCAGGCTGTTTTATTTTTATCGGAAGTTAATGATGTCTGTTTTTATGTAACCAAGGGTAAAAAGGAAATATTTTCTTATCAGACATAACTGTGCCGAATGCGACCTCTTCATTTCCAAAGCACTCTTTCTTTGATGAAATATGGCATGAACAACTCTCTTAAATAATTCAAACTTCATGACAATGATCATGTAGTAACATTTATGTCATCACATGGTATCTTTCACTTTTTTTGTTTGGATATATTGTCTTTCTCATTTAGAAAGATAAAAAAACCTCATTATTATTATTATATTAATGACATTGACCAAAATTTCTTCTGAATTAAGAATGGATTTGTTGAAATGAATATTTATTGGACCCTGTTGAACTCAGAAGTGCAAGTAAATTAAAGATGCTATAATTTGTCCAGATCCGAACTTTGAAATTTTGATTGTCAGCATCAGGCAAATCAGCCATGAGAATTTTGATAGATCTAAAGAGGTTACACAAGAAATCAAAAGATTTAAGTTTTCTACCAGAACACATACATCATTTTATCAACATTAAACAACTCCATTGTCTTTTTCAACTTTTAAGTGCATCTTTCAGTTTCAAATTAACATACATTTTCAGTTGACTGTTTTGTGAACATAAAGTGCCAGCAACATGGCTGTGTATTTTGATCACCGCCTGGAAACTGACCGATCTGGGATCAACACAGATGCGTCATGGTTCAGTGGTGCCCCAATGATCGCCGTCACATCATACAGTGATGAGAATGGTGGCACTGTCAATCTTTTTTTGGAAGAGGTAATATATATATATATATAGCATTTCAAATCAGTGTTTGTATTTCTATAAGTGTATGTATTATTTAAGAATTGAACTGATAATCATTTTAGTCTTTTGCATATATGTATATAGGTAAACATGTAATTGCAATGGATATTTTTCACCCAAAATGAAGAGATGTGTGGAATTTAAGTTATAAAACGGCATCATGTTATATTTATATATATGTATATCATATGGGGCAAAGAAGTAATTCCAACAGTCTGGACAATCCGTTCCTTTATCAAGACACAGTGAAACAGAACAGTTACATAACATACATATGCATCATATTACAAGAAGATGGAACTGATATACTATAATTGAAAATAAAGCTTATCATAGTTATACTGCTGATATTTATGGAGAAAAAAAAAGATAAATCTAAGAATGATTTTAATAAGATATGAAAATAATTGAAAATCTTTATTACGCTATTCCGTTCATATTTTTTAGGGTGAGAAATTGTTGAATATTCCATTACATCGTGCGGGTCAAGCAACCTCTGTGGCATGGCACCCGACAAAGAAAATTGTTGCAGTTGGCTGGGAAAACGGAGAACTGCTGGTTTGGAATGAAGTTGACCATGAGTTATTTGAAGGTTTACCACTACACAAAACAGCCATCACAGTTTTACACTGGAGCTCCTCTGGCTCTCGACTGTCTTCTGGGGACAAGGTGAGATAAAAGATTTTATGTTTAAACTTTATTTTGTGCTTACAAGTACTTTGTAGCTGGTGTCTATGTGAAGTATAATATTTTGATAACCATGGCAGTACATGAGGTTTAAAGCGAATATCAATAACAGGGGCGTGTGGTATTTATAGTGTATGGTTGACTTTAAAAGCTTTATACTAACCTGTTGGCAGTGTGTACATTTTGATAGTTAGAGTACTCACAGGCAGATTTTGAAAAAAAAATGATAGTTAAAGCTGTATTATCCTTGTGAATAATGAAATTGTTCAGTTACCCTGACATAAAAATCTACTCGCCCTGTGCTCTAGTTGGTTTGACCTGTTTATTGTCTATACAAATATGTTTTCTGTACAATGACCTATTGACCTGCATATTGTAGAAAAAACTTGATTTAAGTAGAAAGTTTTTGTATTTTTGTGTCACCTTGAATGAAGTGCCAGTTAAGCTTATGGTATGGTGTGTTGTCAGTCAACATTTTCTTTGGACAACTTCTTAAGAACTGCAGGTCCTATGGCCATGATATTTGGCTAGTAGGTACATGGGCTACAATGCTACAAACAGTCGTCAAATAATTTACCTTGACCTAGTTTCAAGGTCACAGGGGTTAAATGTGTTAAAAACCTTTAAACAAATTCTTCTGAATAACCAAGAGACCTAGAGCAATCATATCTGGTCAGTAGGTACCTGAGATGGACTGCTATAAACTTTCCTCAAATAAATTACCATAACCAGGTGTCATGATGTGAAATATATAAATATCTTTAAACAAACTCTTCTGAATAACCAGGAGGCTCAGAGTGATGCCATACCTGCCAACCCCGGATATACTGAAAGAGGGTGATGACCCTCTTTTGAAAATAAAAAAGAGGGTCATAGCGCGCGATGTCTTTTTTTCACAACAAATATAAGAAGAAAAGTATATGCAGATATTAAATCAGAACTTTAATATTTCAATGTTGTAAAAGGTACATTCTACATTCATTGAACTATTCTTCCAGCAGATCTAGCTGATCCTCATTCACAATACCAGGTTCAAAGCTGAAAAATAAAAAAGTTTGTCAGCAACACAACAAAATTAATTCATAATAATAAATATGATACTGTGTATTCACAGGCATTTTTTATGTCAATTAAAATGGTCCTGACAATAACTTGTCAATAAGATGTCACATTCTTCTCATGTAAAATACCATTTTGTTTCTGTCAATAAAAATGGTCCTGACAATTAGAAGTCGCACACTACTACTCATATAAAATTTCAGTTTTATACGAGTAGGGTTTGAATTCTTATTGTCAGGATCATTTTGATTTACAGAAACAAATCATCAAATGCCTGTACGTGTTATTGGACGTCTAAGTAACGTCGTTTTTAGCACCAGATCCAACTGAAATATGTGATTAACAAAGAGTGCAGAATGGAGCGTTTGGTCCAAGACCGCCAGACTTTATCCACTATAACTCATTTTCCTACGACATTTGATATACATGTGCACAATTATCTTTTCTTTTAGCATTTCGTAGAGTAGAATCTCCTAGTCCCGATAACGAATTCTTCCTTCAAGAAGACACACAAAATTACCTTCAAAATACAATCTATACTACGTAAATACTATTGTAAAAACAACTCAATTATTCATTAAAACACCTCACTAATTACTTGTCGGTAAGTTCAGTAACAACAGTCTTTATATAAACATTTGTAAAAAACAGTTCTAGTGCGTATATAAACAACTTACAAGTTACCTGTCTGTGAGAAATGGAAACGGGAAATAGATCATCTTTTTTTTTATGACAAAGGATGCAAAAGTCTAGAGAATTCCGAGTGACTTTGGTAACTTCTAATATAAGAAAAGATTCTGGGCAAAACAGGTGAAATGGACGAAATCCGGGGCAAAATCGTAACCCAGCGGGTGAAGGGCTAAAATCCCGGGTGTAACCCAACAAAATCGGGTTACTTGGTAGGTATGTGATGCTACTTGGCCAGTAGCTGTATATAGGCACCTGGCATGAAGTGCTATAAACTGTTGTCAAATAAATGACCTTGACCTATTTTCAAGGTCACAGGTCAAATATGCAAAGACCTATAAAAAAATCTTCTGGGTAACCAGGAGGCCCAGGGTGATGATATTGGGCCAGTAGTTACCTGGGATGTAGTGCTATGAAGTTACCTCAACTGGATGACCTTGACATATGTTGAAGGTCACATGGGTCTAATACATGTATATTAAAACTTTTGAGAGACTTCTTCTGAATAACTCCGACACATATGGTGGTGATACTTGGCCAGTAGGTATCTAGGATGGAGTGCTTTAAGATTTTTCAAATAAATTACCTTGACTTACTTTAAAGAGCACAGGCATCAAATATATAAAAACCTTCAAGCAACTTCTGCTGAATAACCAGGATGCCCTTGGCGATGATTGTTGCCCAATAGGTACCTGGCATTGGGTGCTATAAAGTTCCCTAAAATAAATTACCTGGACTTAATTCCAAGGTCAAATGGATCACTTATGAAAAAACCTTCAAACAACTTCTGCATTACCAGAAGGCTCTGGGTGATGATATTTGTCCAGTAGCATGTTTGGATAGCATAAAGTTCCATTTAGTCTGAAACACTCTAAGTCAAAGAGACTGAATATATGGAAATAATTGCAAAATTATTATGATTGAGAACGTTTTCCTGTGATTGCTCAAATATCCAGGTGAGTGGTACAGGCCCTCTGTGCCTCTTGTTTTAAGTTAATACCATGTTACTGGAAGTGATATCCTTTCTTTCTAATTTCATTGCCTTTATCTTTATCTTAGGTTGTTGAATGCAATTTTTGCTGTAGTGGTAAATGATTATTTCTATTTCAGGCAGGTGTACTGATGGTGTGGAAGTCTGACGGCAAGGGTCGGCTACAGCAGAACCCATTGCACCAACACCATGTCCAGGAACCTCTTAGTAAAATATTGTACAGACCCATTCCTCCACCAGACCCGGAACAGTAGGTTATCCATTAAATTCTAACAATAAGTCTGTGACGTTATGAATGCTGGAAATATTTGCTGTCATAATAAATTTGTGAATATATCTTGCCATGAAAAATATTGCCATGAAAACAATCTTGTAAAATACAGTATGTAGTGTACTCACTACAGTACAGTATAAATACCTTGAAGGGAAAATTGAAGGTATTTGTATGAACCATGATATATATGTGAAACAAAATAATTGTTAGTATGTGATGTTAAATTTAAGAGGGGAAACAGGAGGGAGTATTTGTCCTTTATTTCTGTTTTGGCAAAGATGAAATATCTACATGTAAGGGAACAATATATTTTTATTTTTTTTATAATCCGAAAGATAATTGAACTGAAAGTACCAGCTCATTTCCTCTTCAAAAAGACAACTTTGCTTAATAAAACAAATATTATTCACTTAATTGCTAGGGAAATAAAGCACACCATAACAACCCCCATTGTCTAATGCATACACATATTTTATGCATGAAAAATTTGACTTTTTGAAATAGGATGTAAAGTGGTTTAATTGATTCAGGCCAAGTGACCACATGGTCTTATTGTTGAAGTCTTGAGATTTAATTTGGCCAGTTATTTTGTTGTTAGTGATATAGCAGCACTTGCTAGAGCTGCAGTCAGCGGGGACGAGAAAGCTTTAGATCTCTTCACGTGGAAATCCAAAGGCAAAGGCAATTCCAAGATGTCTTCCATGTTTGGTCCAACAGAAGCGTTGACTTTTTTTGTTGGTGGTGAAAGTGGTACGTAGATTTATTGTAATAAATGAAATACAGTTGGACCCACTAATTAATAGTGAAATGGATTATGTTTGAAAAAGGTTAAATCGAAGGTAAATGGACTCCCCATTCACTTTCTTGCAATTTCTGTATTATTTGGTAAAACTTGATAATTTAGAAAGTGGTTACTTTGAAATATGAATTTGTTTTTGTATCCTGTGGATGTAAATACTTTTTTTGATAAAGGTTAAGATTTATACCAGTTGTTCAATAGGCAGGTAGGACCGTCTAGTTTGGTTGCACTGGATATATAAAATCAGAGACATTTCATTTCCTCTATAACCATGCTGCCAAAACATTCTTCAGAAATGTTCAAGACATAATGTTAATCCAAATAATGTTTGTCTGAATTTTCAATAAAATGTGCTGTTTTTGGAATTCTCATCTTCACTACACTGTAGTTTGTTTTGTTTCTTTATTTGAAATAAATTTTGCAGGCGGTGTGTATTATGTAAATGAGAATGGTCAGTGTACACAAATATTTTCTGTGGACACTGCTATCCTTCGGTTCCTGTACTATGAAGAAAAGAATGTATTGATCACAGTCACAGAGAACATGATGCTTACACAGCATGCCATAATGCCTGAGGGTGATGCTAAGGAGCTGATGAGGGTAAGTGTTTAAACAATAACACACAGAAAATGGGATGCTTTGCTCAACTTGTCATAATGCCTGAAGGGACCAAATAACATAATTGTTCCAACAAAATAATCTATATGAATTTTGTTTTATATTGATATTAACCTAAGATTAAAGCATTCCAGTAAGGCCTCAGCATATTCCAAGAAAAACATTTTTAACAGTGATACTGTACTACTTTTAACACTAACCCCTATGTTTTAGGTGAAGATGAGTGGCAGGGGAGAGAACCCTGTTATCTGTTGGGCTGGAAAAAGTATTGTAGCCACTGCTACAGGGGAGGGTGTTGTCAGGTAAGTCTGCAATAACATACACTAGAATTTTGCAGTTATTCTAATGAGGTGTTGTAGGCACATCATTCTTTAATAATTGAAAATATGCTGAGAAAAAATTAAAAAGGCATAATTCTAACCAAAAAATCTTTGTCAAGAATATTTGTTCAAATTAATAAAGAAATATCTTGCAGGTTATTGAAATATGGTTATATTTTGTAGGATGTGGGATCTAGACCACGAAGAAAACTATATTTTGTCATTAGATGGACATGGTAGCTACGACAAATCAGAAAACATCATGTGTATCAGCTACTGCGAGGAAAAGGGTAGGTCCAATGGACAGAAGTTTTATGTCAAGAGAAGTATTTTGGTTTTGTTCCGTTAAAACTGAACAGTCATAAATCAAGTCCCTGTTATTGTCACGTATTTCAAGTAAAAAAATCAATTTGAGATCATACCAGTAACAGTTAATATACATTACATATTGTTGATATTGCATTTTAAAAAAGTTGGTCAGTAGAAAACTGACTTGGAAGAAGGAATCTGATTTTTCCATCTCCGAATATCCATGGAAGATTCAAAATCACTTTCAGATACAAGGGATTTTGATAAACTTCTCAGGTACATTTGACATATTAAGTTTGATACTGGGCATAATTGATTGAATGTCAAAGTCAGTGTAACTAGAAATTTGAAGTCATTATTGGTCCAGACGGGTATTGGTAGCTTGCTTTCTCAGGTGGACAACATTTTGTTACCAAAGTGTCTTTGTATTACAGGAGTACTTGCTGGAGGCACTAACCTTGGGAATATAGCGCTGTGGAGGTATGCTCCGCCCCTAGGTAGTCGGCTGGTGGACGGGGAAAAGAAGTGGAAGCTTCAGGCACCAGCTACTGTAGAAGGCAGTATCCGACAACTGTCTGTGAGTTCATCTTGTATTTTTTTCATTTGTCACAATCATCAATTTCTAGTTCAGATAATTTTCTTTTTGAATAATATTCTTTAGTTTGTTTGACTCTCTTTATCTTGTTTTTTTTGTTATCCTCGATTAAATATTTTAATACAGTTTGAAAGATTTTTTTTTGTATTTAAACAGTTTCAAATTTCATTTCCTTATATATAAAAAGAAAAATAATGTCAAAATAATGTTTATACATTTGTGTTTATAGTATTATATGTATTATATTATTTAGGTTGTTAGAACATTACTAGGTACTTTCCTAGCTTTAAAACTGCATTATTGTTATATTTTAATTTAATTCCATTTTTACAATGATCTTAGTTTTAAGTCATTCAGGTAATGTTTTTGTATGTGATTTTCAGTGGGGATCAAAGAAGAACTTATTGGCTGTAAATACCATTGCAAATGTGTTCATGCTCAACGAACAGACAATGAGCTCGAGTTTTTCTGGTCAGGTATGTCAACTTATAACGACCATGCAATTTACAAGTATTTTCTGCTGCAATGTTATTATAATTGAAATAACAAAAGTTCAGTTTAATTTTTCAAAATTTTACAATGTCCAGCCATTAACCCAGCTGGTCTTGGACCATTGGGGTTATGCCATGGTGCAGCATCTGTAATCCCTTTTTTGTTTTCTGTCAGTCTTTTCCTTTGAATCCTTAAGACTGGTGTCAGAATTCTCCTTTACTACACACACGTGTCCCCAGCTGTAGATCACCCTGTTTTACTAGAGAGCAACAGCAGACACAATATTACGTATGTAGTGATAATGAAGTGCCCAATTATTTACATTTTTCCATTGTGAAGCCAACACTGTTACACAAAACAAATGGATCGCAACTTGAAAAATTGTAGGTGCTGGATCACGAAAACAGATATATCTTTCTCCCAAAGTTAAAATTCATCAACTTCCGATATTAAAACATTTACATAGGACACTGCTTCGCAAGTTCAAAAATGGTCACGAATAAAATAAACATTCACTTTTGTTATATAAACTTTGTAAATGAGTGAAAAAGATTTAAGGATGGAAAACAAATAATGGAAAATAGTTTTGATTTCATCAAAATACACATATGCTATGGCAGATTGGTTGAGTGGTAAACACACATGGAATATTCAGAGAAAGTGATTTTCTCAACTCCCAACAACCATGGTGGAGTATAAAATGGTCTGACGTGGATGTTGCGGTATCTGTGCTGTAACATTCAAATGATGTGGCACTATAAATGATACCGTTGGAAGCATGGTCCCACTACAAACAGAACACAATACAACTCCAGCACACACGCAAGCATACACATATAGGGAGATATTGGCAGGGGGCATAGGACTAGTAGTTAGCGCCTGATAAGGCAGCTACTGCAAATTCCTCCAAAAATATATTGATTAAATGTATATGCTTATTGTATTGATTGTATAAATTGTATATCTAGGTACTGTAAAGTGTTTTAGAGTGACTATTCTAGCTAGATAGGGCGCTATATCAAATGTTATATATTATTATTATTATAATATTATTTTATGGGGTATGGAAAATCAAAAACATTTGTATTTCCCTGAGGGGTCCTTATAATGTCATCAAGAGAATTTTGCAATCAATATGAATATGTTCATTCAAAGGAACAAACGTCACTAACTATGTTTAATATTCATTCAAGCTTACTTAAATAGAATTGTTGGACACTTAATACATGATGTAAAATATATTTGGTTTGATATTTGTATTGACAGACAGCTGTGGTGCAGTTTGGCCCTAGTTCCCTTGCCCTGGAGATGTTTGCCACAGGAACACACCATGACCTCAAAACAGAGGTCCAGGTCAAAGGTGTCTGCACTACTAAGGTAAAGTCAGCCGTCCTGTTTATATATCAACACTTAGATTGTAATATGGTCACAACCTTTGATTCTTATTAATAAAATGATCTTTTATTAAATGCTCAATCTAAATTGATCTATAATAGATTTATTTTTATATTACAGGATACTTTAGCAGTGTGGAATGGCAGAAAAGTGATAACTTATGAATATTCTGAGGACAGAACTATCATTAAGGGTGCAGGTACATGTCTACAAAAAGGCTTATTCTTCTGTCTTTGGTACATTCGTGACCACTCTGGAAAGATCCTAAATCAAACTTGTGAATTTTATTACCCCTTGGTTACCCATTCCCCCCTATGGAGGGAGTCAAACTTACTTTAAGTTATATTTAGTAATAATACTTAAGAGTTCATTTTGTATTTTGTAAGCAGATAATAGCTTAAACTTGGAAAGGTATATTATCATGTGACTGCAGTTAGATGGTATGAAAATGAAACCCTGACCCACATGTAGGGCTTAAGGAGAAGGGCCCTACAGTGTTACCATATCAGAAATCTTTTACATTTTTTTTATAAAAATTAAATTTAATGTATTGGTTACAGATCAGAATCTTTATGGATGAATAAAAGTGTCCAATTGTCTCGGACAACAGCTTTTATCATGGACATAATTTTTCTGTTTTTTCTCCTAGGTATACATTTGTTCTGTGTAAATTGTATTTTTTTTGTACAGGAACATTTGCTACGGAGACAATGGAAGTGCGACTTTACGAACAGAATGTTTACTGTGTAGAAATCGGCAAGGTTCAGGTTCGCACCCACCAGGTAGGTCACTTTTTGGATTTTCAGAAATGACGCTCTGACAGTTATAGATATCAAGTAATCTTCTGAACTGTTAAAATTATCTTAAAGTACCTGGGGGGATATCTTCATCACATCTTTAGTTTATCACCCACTGAAAGTGTGCAGTATACCATAATTATTGTGTTACCATGGGCTTCACTTCAAAATGTTGTTAAATCCCGAAGTAATCTTTAAATATCTTTGCATGAATAAGTAGAAATAAGATAAATTTGACAGGAAAACAACTTTTCAGTGTACTGTAGAAAAGTGGTAGGGCTGTCTACCTTAAATATTAAGTTGAAAGATCCTTGGTATTATGCTGTTCATAGACAAGCTAAGTAGATTACTTTGAAAGACTCTTTCTGTTATTACATATTCTGATCTAAATTGTGGTCTATTAAACATTACGCTATTGCAGTTGACATTTATGATTTTGTTGTAGGGTACAGTAAAGCAGGTCATCAACTTCTCGGACGCTGAGGGGCAGCCTGTCAGTTTAGATGTTTGTGGTACATCACTAGTCATAGCCACAGACAACGGAGTGGTCCGTGTATATGATTTGTCAAGGAGGTAACTTCATTAGGATTGGCTCACTTAGCCTCACCAAATTTCAAGCAATTTGATGTGTATGAGAATTCTAAAATCTAAAGATATATCAAAACTTCATTGTCTACAAATTTGAAGTCCTTACTTTTGAATACAGAATTTCAAACAGAAAATATATTAAAAATCATAACAAAATATTTTAATTTTGTCAACCTATTCTCGTATTATTTCATGCTTGTAAAGTTGAATTTGGTTTCATTTTCACATTATTATAAAGCATGGAAAATGGAGTCCTCAAAGAAAAGGAAAGAATTATATTTTTTTGATGATTTGAAACTGAGGCTTGTAAAAAACAGAATCCCTAATTACAGGGAATTTCTTTCTCAGTGTTTTAAAGCCTTGCTCATTCACCCACCAATCTCCACTTTGACAAATGTCGCCGTATTTAGGGGGTTGAGTCGGCCATATTTGTTACCCATGACTACCCTTTCCCCGCATTGGATATCATCACATTGCAATTGATGGCTTAATTCCTCCAACAGTTTCTGATCAATGATCAACTTTGAGAATACCTTGATGCATTTGTGCTGTAGGGTTCGAAGTTCAAGGGTATTGTCACTCATTATTTATAGAAAAAATCAACCAATTCAGTGTCATCATTCTACTTGACTTGACTTCTAAACAGATTTTGATCAAAATTCATACATGTCAGTTTGAGAATACCTTGATTAAGTTTGTGCTTCACAGTGCCAGGTTCAAGTCCAAGGTTGCTGTTGTGTCTTAATTTATCATGTATGATAATACCCCAGATAAGTTTGTGTTTCAGTTTGCCATGGTCAAGGCCAAGGTCACTAGTTACTGAAGACGTTTCCTAGCTTCTCTGTGTAATATAATCTGTCATTACTCTAGTTTGTTATCTAATACATTTGTTTCTATATAGGAAATGTTGTTATGCATTCACCTTTTGTATGCTTTTTCAGAGAAGCGAAGCCAACGAGCCAACCAAAGAATTTAGGGGATGTCATTCCTGGTTTTAATGGAATTTTATCTGCCAGGTGTAATTCAAATGGATCTAAAGTCAGTGTTCTTGTGAAAAATGTGAGTTTCTATGATTGCGAGGCTAGCAGTAAATATATTCAATAATAGGAAATGTAATAAAGGTTAGAAAAGAGGTAAGGGCTGTTCCATAATTTATCATATGGTGGAGGTGGGAGGCACATATATTAATATATTATGGGTGTTGGGGTTTAATCTATATCTGCCTACCATACCTTGTTAAATCACTCCAGATTTTATGGATCTCTGTAAAAGTGCCTCCCACCCCAACAGTGAATCCTGGAACAGCCCCATTGTATTTATAAAACAGTTTTTAGCTCACCTGCCCGAAGGGCAGCTGAGCTTATGCCATGGCGCGCCGTCCGTCCGGCGTCTGTCAACTTTCCTTTAAACGACTTCTTCTGAAGAACCAGATGGCATAGAGTCATGATATTTGGCTGGTAGCTTCCTTATATGGAGCCCGACATCGCGTGCGAAAAAACCCAGAATTTGACCTACTTTCAAGGTCACAGGGGTCAAATATGTAAAAACCTTCAAACACTTCTTCTGAAATACCGAAAGGTTTAGAGACATGACAATTGGTAGGTAGCTTCCATGGAATAAGCCGAACAAAGTTTGCGAACAAAAATGGCCTCGACCTACTTTCAAGGTCACAGGGGTGAAATATTTCAACATTTTCAAAAAACTTATCTTCTGAAATACAGAAAAGCCTAGAGATATGAGAATTACCTGGTAGCTTCCTTGGTAAAAGCCAAACAAAGTTTGCGTATAAAAATGACCTTGACCTACTTTAAAGGTCATAGACGTCAAATATCTCAAAACCTTCAAACGACTTCTTCTGAAATACCGAAAGGTTTAGAGACATTACAATTGGTAGGTAGCTTCCATGGAATAAGGCGAACAAAGTTTGCGAACAAAAATGGCCTCGACCTACTTTCAAGGTCACAGGGGTCAAATGTGTTAAAATCTTCAAACAACTTTTTCTCAGTAACGAACAGACATTGGGTGAAGATATATGGCCAATAGCATCCTGGGATAAAGGGGTACCAAGTTTGTACATATGAATGACCTTGACCTACTTTCAAGGTCACAGGGGTCAAAATTTTCAAACGACTTCTTCTGAAATACCCAAACGCCTTGTGACATCATATTTGGGTGGTGGCTTCCTTGGAATTAGCCAAACAAAGTTTGCGAATAAAAATGATGTTGACCGACTTTCAAGGTCACCGGGGTCAAATGTGTTAAAATCTTCTTCAACTTTTTCTCAATAACCAACAGACATAGGGTGATGATATATGGCCCGTAGCATGCTGGGATAAAGGGGTACCAAGTTTGTTCATATGAATGGCGTTGACCGACTAAAATATTTTGTAATATCAAATTGATATATTTTCCCTTGAATTACAATGTAAACTTTGGTTTAGAAGTAGTTAAATGCCAGAAGTGTTTTTTTAAGTAACTGTTATTGTTATTGTATTTTGTTACCAATGAAACCTACTCACCTAAATTTTCTGTAACACTAAACCGTTTTTTCCATTTGTCCTACTGAACTGAGTCTGACTATAAATAAAATAACCTTATAATAAACATATCTTTACAATTGTCTTAAACTGTTTTCCCCAATTGTGTCATTGAAATGGATGTTAACCAATTTACCCCTAAAACCACATTTGAACTTCTGCAAATCAAATACTTGGCAAGTCTACTTTAAAAATGTAGGGGTGAATTGTGATGCTATATTTTGACTTGTGCAAGTCTAACCGTCTCGCATCGGTGCTTCAAGGGAATAGTCAAATTGATCACATGCTCTGTTCCAACGCGATTGAGGTAAGGGAAGAGAAGGTGCCATTTTGGCATGTATCTAAAACATTATTTATAAGTCTAAGCAACGTATATATTGCATTCCAAGTAGTTGTTTTGTTTGATGGAATGTTCAACAGCTATTTGTTAGTTGATTAGCGATTGTAATATTTTCAATCCTTTGAAAAACGTGTAGTTCGCACATTCTGTACTCTGGCGAGAACTCGACGAGAATCAGCGAGACATGGATCTAGTGAACTGCTAACTATATAGCTATAGTCGCAAACTTTAGTCGATACCAGTCGCAAGATCGGCAGATCGCTCCAGTTACATGTATTATCGTTTCTTTTTTCTTATAATATACAGAATGTGTTGTCATATGCGTTGTGTTTGTCTCCCAACTGTTTTGAATGCATATGTACGTCGACAGGGACCGTCGAACTCCGTTACGTCACCTGTTTTGTCGTATTTCTCTGTCGTCGTTTCTAAATATTTTCAAATGTAACACGTCGTATTAGATTATCTGCAATGCAATAGTATTGTGTATTGCGCCACAGTTGATAATGTATATGTCTATTTCACCATGAATGACGATTATTTAGATGCTGCCGTTTCCGACATTTCGATACGCTGCCAGAAATTCACTCTATACACTGCGATGCGAGTAACCGATTTTGACGATCATCAAGATCAATCTTAAAACATATAAAATGGCACAAATAAAAATTACTAATGTCTGAATATGAAATTAAATATAATTCATCCATTTAAAATGTACATTTATGGACTTAAATATTATTTTACTGTTGTACAAATCATGTTTGTTTGAAGTATTATTAGTTGAAGTAGCTACACCATGATTCATAATATTGTTTTTTCGAATTTGCTAGATTTATTCATTGTGTTCTGTTGTGATTTCAACTAGAGCACTAACTGTGGTGATAAGGTGTAGTACAATATAATATCTAATGAGAATATTTGCTATGACTGCTTAAATATTCAGGTGAGCGATACAGGCCCTCTGGGCCTCTTGTTTTTAGTAGCTATAAAGATTAAAGGAGAGGTATTAATGCATTTATAAAACAGTGCTTCTAATAGCTACATATCCTGATCAATTCCTACATTGAAATTGCTGAAATGATGCCACCATCAAATTATGTACAGTAAAGCGGAATTAATGACATGTGACATCACTTTTCAGAATTCCAGCCATGCCGATCCTAAGCTGTACTTTTGGGATGTGGAGTCGGATGTTGTTTCTTACTTTAACTTTGAGAGTGGGCGTGGAGAGCAGGATGACTTCCCCCCAGAACAGATAGAGGGTGTGGAGGGGGATACAAATGATGCAGAGAGGTAGGCTTATGGTCACACAAGTCATAATATATTTCAGGAAATTCTAGACATCAAAAGTTATTTTGTTCTTTATATATTCCTAATGCTGTGGAGGTTTTGAATTCATCTTTTGGTTGAATTGTCTTTTTATAGTAGTTTGGAGATGTAATTTCTGCTCAGTAAATTCATAGATTGTGAACCTTTTTACAACAAATCTCGTCAAGTTTGAGCTTCTAGAATTGTGATATGAATGTATGTCTGTAACTTAGGGGCAAGAATCAGGCTGCTAAGGACATAGCTGGCCGGTACCCTATGACCCACCACTGGGACCCTCACGACACCAAGCTGATTGTCTGTGAGGCCAAGGTGATGGCTAGTGCTGTGGAGAAGAAGGAGAAGGAGGAAAAGAAGCGCCACTCTCTAACTAAGGCCGTAGAGGAGGGACCAGTAAGTCCACCATGTTAAATTAATCACGAGGCATTTCATTAACCCATGTGTTCACAGTCAAAGGATGTAGAAACCATTGCTGTAATGACAATCTTATTGACTGTTCAGCAGAGTGATGTGGGAAAGACAATAAATGTGCTTTACCATTAATATTTTCCAACCGTTAAATTGGAGAATGTTAGCAGGAGCTCATCCTGACTAATTGTCTTTGGGCAGGATGAGTGAGTAAGTCTGTATTCAGCATTAACTAGGCTTCGTTTCTTGTTTCATCAGTTTGGTTGTTTTACTAATGGCTATTTCATTAAAGGTGGAGGTTATGGTGGTGTCCCTGTTCTGTACACCAGAGAACGGCATCCTCATCCAGGACAGCTTCCAGATGCCGGAGCAGTTTCAGGCCCTACTTGGCATAGAGGTGCCCTACTACTACAACATTAAGAAGGTAAGACAGACGATAGAGATTATAGGTTTATATATGTATATAAAGTGTCTTGTTTCTGTAATGTGCTGAATAGTCCCGCCCCCTCTCCCCAAATAAGTAGGGTGAAGTGTATCCATCCATCTGTAGTAAAAGCTTGTGTACAATACATCTAACTTTACACCATGGTGTTTAAACACCAAGCTCTGTACCTTATACAATAGTTTGGTAATCATTGATTGAGATTACTCTTGACAACTCGTTTGGGTAGGGTTAGGTGTTTGTATCTGTTTCTGATTGTTGTTTAGTTGTATGAAAAATCATAGTGTAATCTCTGTTTGTTAATCAAGCGAATAGTAAAAGGTTCATCATAATAATAAAGGTATCAAACTTAAGCATAAAAAGCAGTTTTGTGTCATTGTGACAGGTTAACAGCATGATCTATTGTTTTTGTTTGACAGTCTGAGAATCTTAAAGAGGAAGAGCAGGAAAAGGATGACACACCACAACCGGAAAATCTCATTAAGTCCGACACTGTAATACAACCAAAACTGGTGGCCAGAAAAACCATGCGTGACTTTGTAGGTCTAGAAAACAGCGACAAGAACACGAGAGAGGCTATGATGAACTTCAGCTACTATCTCACCATTGGCAACATGGACGAGGCATTTAAATCCATCAAACTCATTAAAAGGTAAGTACTGCTACTAAATAGCCTACTATGCTTTGTGCTTTATTGTTCCTATGATCTGAAATGTATCCGGTAATTGTTTTTGTTAGTTAAGTTACCATCACAAAGAATTCTATTTAATACTTCACATTGAAAAATAGAAAAAAGCACAAATCAGTTTAAATGTTACAGTTAATTATATAATTAGTCACCACAGCACAAAGCAAACTTTGATAATATCTATATAAAACATAAGGGTGGGTTTGCCATAGTAGCTTTATACAGGGATTAATGTTTCTTCTCTGTTAGATTCTTACTATAGACCTGTTAAGGTGAGACACATGGCGCACTTTGTTTTGTAAATACACGATGCTATGATTTTCAATTCATTTTCCTTTTGTCTTCATTCAATTTATCACCTTTACTTGCTTATATTTCTTTATAGTGAATCTGTGTGGGAGAACATGGCCAAAATGTGTGTAAAAAGCCGACGTTTGGATGTGGCTAGTGTTTGTCTAGGCAACATGGGTCATGCCCGTGGTGCTAAGGCCCTCAGGGAGGCCATGAAAGAGCCGGAGCTGGACGCCAAAGTCGCTGTCCTTGCTATGCAACTTGGACTCAAGGTAAATTTGTTAATACAAGACTTTCATCAAGTCATAGTTGGCACTAAAACAGCTAAATTTGTATAATCTTTCTTTGTTGGTTTTGCAACCTAACACATTTTCATGTGCATGCATTTTTAAAACAGTGATAATTCAGGCAAAAATGTATTACACTTGTAATACAACGGGTCTTTTTTTGTAGTTTGAATATTAAAAACCAGTCAAAATATACAAGTGTAATGTTACATATTCATAAAACATTGCTATTGTAGCAAGTCTTTATATTGATGAGTTAAGTCCACTCTGTACAATCACAATTTTATTCTTGGCCAAATTTTTCTGGTGTGAAAAGCATTGAAATAAGATTATTGCTTACATATGTAGAGTAATTAAAGAATCCTTCCGCTAAGTACTAAAGCTCTGTGTTTATGTTATTTATGTAAAGTGTCAATCCTCCCACTAAGTACTAAAGCTTTGTGTTTATGTTATCTATGTAAAGTGTCAATTCTCCCACTAACTCCTAAAGCTCTGTGTTTATGTTATCTATGTAAAGTGTCAATTCTCCCACTAAGTACTAAAGCTCTGTGTTTATGTTATCTGTGGAAAGTGGCAATCCTCCCGCAAAGTACTAAAGCTTTGTGTTGATGTTATCTATGTAAAGTGTCAATCCTCCCACTAAGTCCTAAAGCTCTGTGTTTATGTTATCTATGTAAAGTGTCAATTCTCCCGCAAAGTACTAAAGCTTTGTGTTTATGTTAGCTATGTAAAGTGTCAATCCTCCCACTAAGTACTACAGCTCTGTGTTTATGTTATCTAGTAGATGTAAAGAGTCAATCCTCCCACTAAGTACTAAAGCTCTGTGTTTAATTATCTATGTAAAGTTTCAATCCTCCCACTAAGTACTAAAGCTCTGTGTTTCTGTTATCTATGTAAAGTGTCAATCCTCCCGCTAAGTACTAAAGCTCTGTGTTTATGTTATTTATGTAAAGTGTCAATCCTCCCACTAAGTACTACAGCTCTGTGTTTATGTTATCTAGTAGATGAAAAGTGTCAATCCTCCCGCTAAGTACTAAAGCTCTGTGTAAATGTTCTCTATGTAAAGTGTCAATCCTCCCGCTAAGTACTAAAGCTCTGTGTAAATGTTCTCTATGTAAAGTGTCAATCCTCCCGCTAAGTACTAAAGCTCTGTGTTTCTGTTATCTATGTAAAGTGTCAATCCTCCCGCTAAGTACTAAAGCTCTGTGTAAATGTTCTCTATGTAAAGTGTCAATCCTCCCGCTAAGTACTAAAGCTCTGTGTAAATGTTATCTATGTAAAGTGTCAATCCTCCCGCTAAGTACTAAAGCTCTGTGTAAATGTTATCTATGTAAAGTGTCAATCCTCCAGCTAAGTACTAAAGCTCTGTGTTTATGTTATCTATGTAAAGTGTCAATCATCCCGCTAAGTACTAAAGCTCTGTGTTTATGTTATTTATGTAAAGTGTCAATCCTCCCACTAAGTACTACAGCTCTGTGTTTATGTTATCTAGTAGATGAAAAGTGTCAATCCTCCCGCTAAGTACTAAAGCTCTGTGTTTCTGTTATCTATGTAAAGTGTCAATCCTCCCGCTAAGTACTAAAGCTCTGTGTTTCTGTTATCTATGTAAAGTGTCAATCCTCCCGCTAAGTACTAAAGCTCTGTGTTTCTGTTATCTATGTAAAGTGTCAATCCTCCCGCTAAGTACTAAAGCTCTGTGTAAATGTTATCTATGTAAAGTGTCAATCCTCCCGCTAAGTACTAAAGCTCTGTGTTTCTGTTATCTATGTAAAGTGTCAATCCTCCCGCTAAGTACTAAAGCTCTGTGTTTCTGTTATCTATGTAAAGTGTCAATCCTCCCGCTAAGTACTAAAGCTCTGTGTTTATGTTATTTATGTAAAGTGTCAATCCTCCCACTAAGTATTAAAGCTTTGTGTTTATGTTATCTATGTAAAGTGTCAATTCTCCCGCAAAGTACTAAAGCTTTGTGTTTATGTTAGCTATGTAAAGTGTCAATCCTCCCACTAAGTACTACAGCTCTGTGTTTATGTTATCTAGTAGATGTAAAGTGTCAATCCTCCCGCTAAGTACTAAAGCTCTGTGTTTATGTTATCTATGTAAAGTGTCAATCTTCCCACTAAGTACTAAAGCTCTGTGTTTATGTTATCTCTGTAAAGTGTCAATCCTCCCGCAAAGTACTAAAGCTTTGTGTTTATGTTATGTATGTAAAGTGTCAATCCTCCCACTAAGTACTAAAGCTCTGGGTTTATGTTATCTATGTAAAGTGTCAATCCTCCCACTAATTACTAAAGCTCTGTGTTTAATTATCTATGTAAAGTTTCAATCCTCCCACTAAGTACTAAAGCTCTGTGTTTATGTTATCTATGTAAAGTGTCAATCCTCCCACTAAGTACTACAGCTCTGTGTTTATGTTATCTAGTAGATGAAAAGTGTCAATCCTCCCGCTAAGTACTAAAGCTCTGTGTAAATGTTATCTATGTAAAGTGTCAATCCTCCCGCTAAGTACTAAAGCTCTGTGTTTATGTTATCTATGTAAAGTGTACGTATCAGCTCTACATTCAATACAAAGATAATAATTTACAACTTCCAGATGAATGGAAATAGCCAATGATTTGACTTATTCAATAAATAGGAGGTAAAGTTGTTGTGTTGGAATATTTTCTTAAATAGGTATTCTAGTGTTTTTGTAAATAAAACTGAAAATCTTGCCTTGCAGTTGAATAACTATGACATGATTGTTATGTATACTCTGCAAAACTCTTAGACCTTTCTAGACTTGATCTAAATCTAGCTCTATGTATATGATTTTTTGTTGTGGATTTTTTAGGAAGATGCAGAGAGATTACTGAAGAACTGTAAACGATATGATTTACTGAATGAATTCTACCAATCATCTGGCCAGTGGATTAAGGTATACACATAATTAGACATTATTAGTCACTTTATAGTCGGTATTCATTAAAAACAAGATACATGATTAAGTGCATTTCTAGACTAAAGAAATTGTTCAGTAAGAAAATGGTGAATATGGTAAAGTTTGTTTTGAGTGACAAAACACGTCTCTTTGCAGGCATTAGAAACAGCAGAAATGTATGATCGTATTCATCTCAGAGCCACCTATTATAACCATGCAAAACACTTGGAAGTCAAGGGGGACTACTCTGATGCGATACCAAAGTAAGTTTAGCTAAGTTGAATGACAATGCCCTGGGCCTGTTCATTTATGCTGACAAATAGGTACATCTATATTCAAATGTGATATTTCAGGGTAAAAGCCACAGAGATCTGCAAATGTTAATCAGTCTTGAAATTCTTTGCCAAGACTATCCAGAAAGCAACATCAAATCACTAGGTCTGTCCCAAGTTAAGGTTCGACTGATCTGACCGTTTGGAATGCAATAAAACACCTTTGTTATAATGCTTTCAACTTGTTGGAACAATTTCTTTGATGAATGACTTAGTGTTTTGGTTTATGTTAAAAACCATATTTCTACATGCTTTTGACCATTTTTGTAATATCTATGTACAGTTCTACTAGTAATGGAGTAAATATTATAAAACTGATGTAAAACCCATACTTAAAATTAATTTGATATTAAAACTTAGATGTGTAATTTTGAACACTCTTTATCATTTTCCTGACTTTGGCATCATTTTAAGGATTATAATTTTGCCCTTTGATAACAACGGCTTTTATGATTTTAAGTCCATGTCCTCCTCTGTGATTATCAGTAAATTGTTTACTTAATGTTTCATTGTAGAATTTTGAGATATATTACTCTTCTTTGTCCTTTGCAAAAATCACATTGATTTTTTTTGTGATTGATGTTTTCTGTTACACTTTCAGCTATGAGAAGTCGGACACTCATCGCTTTGAAGTTCCAAGGATGTTATTTGATGAACCTGAAGCGTTAGAACAATACATTAGCAGGCATAAAGACAAGTATGTTCATACTATTTTGTCTTATGCACTGTTGTGTACCTTCTTAACCAGTTCTTACAAAACTCTGTTAATCAATATTTTGTTTAAAAAGTCTTTTCCTTTTGAACAAATTTGATCTAAATTTAGCCTGAAGCACCACTGAGCGATGGGGAATCAAAATTGTATAAAACAAGGGTGACCCCCACTTCCATGGGCAGAAAGGTGTGGCCCAGTAGGGGAAATGGATCTTATCTGAAACATCACTGGGCCAAGGCAACTTAATGTAGGATAAACAAAAAGGGGTTAGAGGAAATAGATATAAGTCTACTATCTGTAGGATAAACAAAAAGGGGTTAGGGGAAATAGATATAAGTCTACTATCTGTAGGATAAACAACAAGGGGTTAGGAGGAATAGATATAAGTCTTCTATCTGTAGGATAAACAAAAAGGGGTTAAGGGAAATAGATATAAGTCTACTATCTGTAGGATAAACAAAAAGGGGTTAGGGGAAATAGATATAAGTCTACTATCTGTAGGATAAACAAAAAGGGGTTAGGGGGAAAAGATATAAGTTTACTATCTTAAGGGGGCATGGCAACTTAATGTAGGATAAACAAAAAGGGGTTAGGCCAAATAAAATTGATTACTTAGTTCTGGGGCCATTTTCTTTTTTAAAGAGATGCGGCAGGGCATTTTTTTTTTTTTCATTTTACATGGCAATTATGAGACGAGGGCGATTTTTTTTTATTGTGTAGTTTGTAAAACGTTCATTGTGGGCATTACCTTGCCTTTTTATAGTTGTGTAGAGACCCGTCATAGAACAAGCCTCCGAAAATCCCCCCACGATGTTCCAGACGAGAATCACGAACACCCACCCCCCATTCCTTATTTGTACCGAAATGAGCGGCATTTGAACACAAGACTAATAAGTCATAATCATTTTAACGCTTGCCTGTATATCAATCCTTATATTTATTCAAACGTTTTCGGGACTTGGGTGACTAACGTGTAAAAACGACATGCGGACCAATTTTCTGGAATTTTTTAAAGACTGCGACTGGCGCATCCACAATTTTTTTTATTACTTTCACCATAAAATCGGCAATGCAGTGCCCTAAAATGAAATGTGCGCGGGCCTGAGAACCAAGTAATCAATTTTTTTGGCCTTAGAGGAAATAGATATGTCTACTATCTAAAGGGGGCAAGGCAACTTGATGTAGGATAAACAAAAAGGGGTTAGAGGAAAATTTATTCTTCCGCTTTCCGCCCGACACTTTTCTCAGAAACTGTAAGTCTGATCTTCACCAAACTTTGAGGAATTATTACTGATAGCCTCTAGATGTGCAAACACTTTTTTGTTTTTCCGATTATCATCCAAGATGGCCACCATGAATTTTTGAAATTTTTGGGAACTTAAAAATTCTAAAGGTGTTCGTTTAAGATAGCCAATGTCACCTATCCTATTTTACATGTTTTATAGATATTTGCCAATGCATTCCAAATTCGGCATGTAGGTGTATGATGGAACTGCGAATTCAACCATGACATCCGTTTTCTAATTAGATAAAATGACTGCCATATACTGGTTACTGATTGGTCGAAACTCCGTTATTGTTCGATTTCGTTCAAATTTAGTATGTACGTGTAATATGGCATTGCACTCTCAACTGCAACATTTGTTTTCTAATTTGACAAAATGGCCACCATATACTGGGTTCTGATTGGTCGAAATTTAGATATTGTTCGATGTTTGTGAAAATTGGCTTACAGGGGTATTAGGGGACTGCGAATTCAATCGCATAGGATATGTTGCCATATCAACCACATGCATGGAGGCTTCTGATTGATCGAAATTTAGATAGTGTTCGATTTTGATGACAATCGATATATAGGGGTATTAAAGGACTGCAAATTCAATCGCATACCTTCGTTGCCATAGCAACCACACAGAGGCTTCTATAATTGGTCACAATTTAGAAATTGTTGGATTTCACTCAAATTTAATATGTAGGTGTATAAAGGCATTGCGATCCTTTTCTGATTATCTTTGCGACTATGGGGGCAGTTTGGGGGACTTCTGTAATGTTCCCCCATTACAATTAGTACTTGTTTGCTATTGCTTTTAAACTTCTTAATTAAATTAATCGCACTTTGTGACAGTTTGACCAAGCACTTCCTTGCAGAACAGATATCTCATTATATGATATAATAAATGAAAGAGAAAAATGGTTCTTTTTTCAAGAATGATTGATCAAATATCTCTAAACAGATATCTGATAACAGTTCTAGCAGTTTTGATTTACCTTGACAAACTGTTTATTTCAGGGCACTACATAAATGGTGGGCCCAGTACATGGAGAGTACAGGGGAAATGGATGCAGCCCTGCAGTACTACGAGACTGCCCAGGATTTCCTCTCTCTGGTCCGAGTCTACTGCTACTGTGGCAAAATGGACAAGGTACAGTGCCTTTTATTGTTTATTCTTAATTTGGATGTTTTTTATCTCTTGATTTGACTAAAACCTTGATTTGGATTTTAAAAAAGACAAAGGAAAAGTATTTATAAGGTATATTTTAGAAAAGGATTAACTATAGCTGCAACAGAGTAACAGATAGCAATGCGACCTTTGTAAGGGCTGTTCCAGATATATATTTATATACAGTGGGGAAATGGACAGGCAGACACTTGTAATATATCGTGTATGGATGATTAGAATTCTTTATTGTTTGATTAATTTTTTTTTGTTTTTCGCTCCAAAGGCTTCAGAAATCTGTAATGAGACAGGTGACAGGGCTGCCTGTTACCACTTAGGTCGGCAATATGAAAACCAAGACTTGATCAAAGAAGCCATTCACTTTTTTCAGCGAGCACAGGCATATGGAAATGCTATTCGACTGTGCAAGGTAAGCAAACTTGCACTTTAGATAACATATTGCTTGTGTAAGGTGTGTATATACCTGTTACATGTTTACAGGGGCTAGGAGAGACGTATGATGTGTATATACCTGTTGCATGTTTACAGGGGCTAGGAGAGACGTATGATGTGTGTATACCTGTAACATGTTTACAGGGGCTAGGAGAGACGTATGGCGTGTATATACCTGTTACATGTTTACAGGGGATAGGAGAGCCGTATGGTGTGTATATACCTCTTATAAGTTTACAGGGGCTAGGAGAGAAGTATGGTGTGTATAGACCTGTTACATGTTTACAGGGGCTAGGAGAGACGTATGGAGTGTATATACCTGTTACATGTTTACAGGGGATAGGAGAGCCGTATGGTGTGTATATACCTCTTATAAGTTTACAGGGGCTAGGAGAGAAGTATGGTGTATATATACCTGTTACATGTTTACAGGGGCTAGGAGAGATGTATGGTGTGTATATACCTGTTATATGTTTATAGGGGCTAGGAGAGACGTATGGTGTGTATATTCCTGTTACATGTTTACAGGGGCTAGGAGAGAAGGATGGTGTGTATATACCTGTTTCATGTTTACAGGGGCTAGGAGAGACGTATGGGGTGTGTATACCTGTTATATGTTTATAGGGGATAGGAGAGACGTATGGTGTGTATATACCTCTTATAAGTTTACAGGGGCTAGGAGAGAAGTATGGTGTGTATAGACCTGTTACATGTTTAAAGGGGCTAGGAGAGATGTATGGTGTGTTTATACCTGTTACATGTTTACAGGGGCTAGGAGAGAAGTATTGAGTGTGTATACCTGTTATATGTTTATAGGGGATAGGAGAGACGTATGGTGTGTATATACCTGTTTCATGTTTATAGGGGCTAGGAGAGACGTATTGTGTGTATATACCTGTTTCATGTTTACAGGGGCTAGGAGAGAAGGATGGTGTGTATATACCTGTTTCATGTTTACAGGGGCTAGCAGAGAAGTATGGTGTGTATATACCTGTTACATGTTTACAGAGGCTAGGAGAGACGTATGGTGTGTGTATACCTGTTACATGTTTACAGGGGCTAGGAGAGAAGTATTGAGTGTGTATACCTGTTATATGTTTATAGGGGATAGGAGAGACGTATGGTGTGTATATACCTGCTATATGTTTACAGGGGCTAGGAGAGACGTATGGCGTGTATATACCTGTTACATGTTTACAGGGGCTAGGAGAGAAGGATGGTGTGTATATACCTGTTTCATGTTTATAGGGGCTAGGAGAGACGTATGGCGTGTATATACCTGTTACATGTTTACAGGGGATAGGAGAGCCGTATGGTGTGTATATACCTCTTATAAGTTTACAGGGGCTAGGAGAAAAGTATGGTGTGTATATACCTGTTACATGTTTACAGGGGCTAGGAGAGACGTATGGTGTGTGTATACCTGTTATATGTTTATAGGGGCTAGGAGAGACGTATGGTGTGTATATACCTGCTATATGTTTACAGGGACTAGGAGAGACGTATGGTGTGTATATACCTGTTATATGTTTACAGGGGCTAGGAGAGATGTATGGTGTGTATATACCTGTTATATGTTTATAGGGGCTAGGAGAGACGTATGGTGTGTATAGACCTGTTACATGTTTAAAGGGGCTAGGAGAGACGTATGGTGTGTTTATACCTGTTACATGTTTACAAGGGCTAGGAGAGACGTATTGTGTGAACATACCTGTTACATGTTTACAGGGGCTAGCCTGTTACATGTTTAAAGGGGCTAGGAGAGACGGATGGTGTGTATAGACCTGTTAGATGTTTAAAGGGGCTAGGAGAGACGGATGATGTGTGTATACCTGTTACATGTTTACAGTGGCTAGGAGAGACGTATGGTGTTTATATACCTGTTATATGTTTATAGGGTCTAGGAGAGACGTATGGTGTGTTTATACCTGTTACATGTTTACAGGGGCTAGGAGAGAAGTATTGTGTGTATATACCTGTTACATGTTTACAAGGGCTAGGAGAGACGTATTGTGTGTATATACCTGTTACATGTTTACAAGGGCTAGGAGAGACGTATTGTGTGAACATACCTGTTACATGTTTACAGGGGCTATGGGAGACGTATGATGTGTGTATACCTGTTACATGTTTACAAGGGCTAGGAGAGACGTATTGTGTGAACATACCTGTTACATGTTTACAGGGGCTAGGAGCGACGTATGGTGTGTATATACCTCTTATCAGTTTACAGGGGCTAGGAGAGAAGTATTGTGTGTATATACCCCCTACATGTTTACAAGGGCTAGGAGAGACGTATTGTGTGAATATACCTGTTACATGTTTATAAGGGCTAGGAGAGACGTATTGTGTGTACATACCTGTTACATGTTTACAGGGGCTATGGGAGACGTATGATGTGTGTATACCTGTTACATGTTTACAAGGGCTAGGAGAGACGTATTGTGTGTTTATACCTGTTACATGTTTACAGGGGCTATGAGAGACGTATGATGTGTATATACCTGTTACATGTTTACAGAGGCTAGGAGAGACGTATGGTGTGTATATCCCTCTTATAAGTTTACAGGGGCTAGGAGAGACGTATTGTGTGTTTATACCTGTTACATGTTTACAGGGGCTATGGGAGACGTATGGTGTGTTTATACCTGTTACATGTTTACAGGGGCTAGGAGAGACGGATAGTGGGTATATACCTGTTACATGTTTACAGGGGCTAGGAGAGATGTATGGTGTGTATATACCTGTTACATGTTTACAGGGGCTATGAGAGACGTATGATGTGTATATACCTGTTACATGTTTACAGGGGCTAGGAGAGATGTATGGTGTGTATATACCTGTTACATGTTTACAGGGGCTAGAAGAGACAATCATTAGAGGGATTTAGAGTGAAATAAGGGACATCGATTTGATTTTAAGATAGTGACAAAACAGTACCAAATAAAAATGGCAAAAAAAGCAAACCTTTTCAGTCTAATTACACTTTTACGTGATAAGTTTGTTTTGCATGTTACTTTACACTCTGGAAGGTTGTACTCCTAGCATTTTAGTCGTGTTCATTTACACACTCAGCAGGCTGTGTTAAAACAAGTTCCATCATGCACTTTTCATCCTCCTTATCAATTGATTCATGTTTACAAAACTTTCCAAGCGAGCTCGAGCTCTTGTTGTATGAGACATATTAAATAACAGCTTCCAGAAGTTAGTGACAACAACTGGACAAAAATACCAATGTGAATTAATCGTTAGAATTAATGCTGCCAAATAGCCAAAATCATTTGTAACATTTATAAATTGTCATAACAAAGACTTATCCATAGTTTGATATTTACTTTTCTATATCTGCTTTTCTGAGCAATGTAGCCCTAATATTTTCTATAGGAACATGGTTATGAAGACCAGCTGCTGAATCTGGCATTACTCGGCCGTCCTGAAGACATGATGGAAGCAGCTCGCTACTACGAACAGAAACAAGGGTCTGAGGACAAGGCTGTCATGCTGTATCATAAGGTACATTGGATTGAAGAGTGACCGTGTGTTAGTTACTGATAGTGGCTAATTATAAAAACTCTGACCCAGAGAAAAAATATATATATTAGTGTAGTTTTTGATCTCCCATAGACAACATTTTCAGGTCAACAGTAGGAAATCTGTATGCATTAAAATCTCCACAAAATATTCGTTTGTTGATTCAAATTATGTATTATAGGATTAGTGGAATGTAATAATTAAAAGTAAATGTTTCCTTTTTCGACAAAAGAGTATTTCCATAAAAATGTTTTAAATTAATACTTTTTATGAATAACTTCCAAATGGCTTTGGATTTATTTAAGTAAATGTATTTAATTGATGAATTCCAGGCAGGAAACTTCTCCAAAGCATTGGATCTGTCCTTCCGATCCAAGCAGTTTGGAGCTTTGCAGATGATTTCTGGGGACTTGGACGAGCGAGCAGATCCTGAGTTATTGCAGAGATGTGGTGACTTTTTCATGGACAATGGTCAATATGATAAGGCTGTGGATCTCCTCGCCATCGGCAAAAAGGTGTGTTTCACTCGAGTGGGCAGTGCATGTAGATCATAGTTTTATGCACAACACAAGAGCCTGACTAAATCATTTATTATCCTGGAAAATACAAATGACAAAGACATCTGATCAAATACACAAAATACACTCCTATTCCTTCAAATAAGTTGTATGGTTCTCTTGGAGGCTACTCACTGTAGACAATAACATAAATATAATACAAAATATCCTAAAGAGAGAATATGATGTAACAGATATGTCTTTGATTCAGACTCAGCATGGGAACAAGAACTGGGAGAGATTGTACTTACATCTACATTTTGATTCTCAAACAAAGTATGCATAAATCACCCATAGAATTAAGCTCATTATAAGCAAGCTTGAATCTGGCCCATTTGTACTTGTTTCACACAATTACATAAAATACATTACTGAATAAATAGTCACGACATACTACTGCTTATTTCAGTACTGGGAAGCTCTGAAGATTTGTATGGACCAGCATGTGGAGATAACTGAAGACCTGGCAGAGAAACTCACTCCGAACAAGGACGACATGGGCATTGATACAATGGAGCGGGTAAAGATCCTGGAGGCCATCGCTGAGGTGTGCATGCATCAAGGCCAGTACCACCTCGCTACAAAGAAGTTTACTCAGGCTGGTAACAAGATCAAGGTCAGTGTTTAAGCTTCCATCATTTCTATGTATTTAGATTTGTCTTCACTTCTCCAAAACAGCTGCTGTATGTACAGTATAGTAGGTCTAACACATGTCGTTTTATGGAGTGATGTTGGAAACTGGTATAATTGAACGTTCAAAATTCAAACAACCACCAAATACATTTGAAGATTTAATGATACAATTGATGGATATATTAACTTTGTTAAAGTAAATGGTCTCTTTTGTTCTTGGTAAGATTTGCAGTGTTTGCAATGTCACTTACTTACGTGGTGTATGTTTTAGGCTATGAAAGCGTTGCTGAAATCTGGAGACACTGAGAAGATAACGTTTTTTGCTGGTGTATCACGGCAGAAGGAGATTTATGTAATGGCCGCCAATTATCTTCAGTCTCTGGATTGGAGGAAAGACCCAGAAATCATGAAGAATATTATCGGCTTCTATACTAAAGGAAGAGCACTGGATTCTTTAGCAGCATTTTACGATGCTTGTGCTCAGGTAAGCAGGAATTTATATCCTGCCATTTTGTATGGCACATATGGTGTTATCCATTTCTGTTCTGTCATGTCCTGTCCCATCCGAAGTTAGTGTCATTGCTCCAGGGACTTCCTAGCTATCCTATTATATATTAATCAGACTTATTTAAGTCATCTAGTACATTTAAATACAAGGTCAAGTATGAGAACACATCAAATAGTTAATGTTTTAGCGTTCCAAGGTCAGTGTTGCTATTTATAGAAAGTATTATACACATTTTGTTTTATCACTCAATAAAATATTTCATTTCTAAATGGTTTTTGATATAACTGTACACAATTTTTTGAACAAAACTTCATACAATGAATATGAAGGAAGACATGAATGTTTTGTGTCAGAAAATGTGTTGTATGGATTAGTTTTCCTTGAATGGAAAGAAGCTGGGATGTGCAAGTTTTTCATCTGAAAAAAACCCACTTTGGGATATAGCAGTCACGCAGCTGTAAGTCATGCTGATGCTAATTTCAGAAAAATAATCACACAACGCCGATACTTGACCGAAGGAAGAGAAAGACCCCTTTTGATTTTGGGTCTTGTTTGTCAAAAGTGAAGGTCATTGTTAACCGGTACTAAAAAAAAAAAAAAGAATTTTCCATAACCTAACTATTGAAAAGCATTTCAAACTATCAATGCAATAGCTAACATTTAACAAGTATAGTCCTTTTCTGATGAAACGTTTTATGTATCTGCAACACGTGGTGCTCAGGGGTTTTATGGGTGGCTGTGCTATTCCTAGTGACTCTCACGTTTATATTGAAATATTATAAAATAGATTCAATCACAACAGGCGAAGGAGCAATAAGTTATGCTTGTAGTTTATTAGAAGTGTCGACCAATTTCGCCCCTACAATGTGCTTCTTCAGGACAAAATTATAGGATATTGCCTTTTTTTGAAATATTAAATGCAGACATATAGGTAATGTGTAATTGCAATTCATCAGTTGCTTTAATTAAAAGATGTGAATGAGTGTATTTTGTGTGTTACAGGTGGAGATAGATGAGTACCAGAACTACGACAAAGCCTTGGGTGCTCTGGGTGAGGCCTACAAATGTTTAAGTAAGACAAAGATGAGCGATGAAATGCTACAAGAGGAAAAGCTGTCACGTCTCAAGAACAAGATCACTCTTATTAAGAAGTTTGTGACTGCTAGAAGGTAAGTTTGAACATAAGATATATTTCGTGCTCACAATCATGAAAATGAACTTTTACCCTGGTTGTCATCTCTTGTTCTACCTGACTGTGTAAGCGATGACTTTGGTTATCTGTCATTGGATCTAATTTGTGAACTGTGACCCTGTGATATCTATTCTTGTTCCGATGTATGATCTTTGACCTTGAATGTCAGTCCTTGATCAAATGTGTGTGAACTTCGACCTTAGAACGATGTCTGTCATTATACCCCCAGTTGAGTGGTGGTTGGGGGTGTTGTTCGGGTATACTAATTGCTTGTCTGTCATTATACCCCCAGTTGAGTGGGGGTTGGGGGGGGTGTTCGGGTAAACTAATTGGTTGTCTGTCATAATACCCCCAGTTGAGTAGTGGTTGGGGGAGTGTTCGGGTATACTAATTGGTTGTCTGTCATTATACCCCCAGTTGAGTGGTGGTTGGGGGGAGTGTTCGGGTAAACTAATTGGTTGTCTGTCATATACCCCCAGTTGAGTGGTTGTTGGGGGAGTGTTCGGGTATACTAATTGGTTGTCTGTCATTATACCCCCAGTTGCGTGGTGGTTGGGGGTGTTGTTTGGGTATACTAATTGGTTGTTTGTCATTATACCCCAAGTTGAGTGGTGGTTGGGGTGTTGTTTGGGTATACTAACTGGTTGTCTGTCATTATACCCTCAGTTGAGTGGTGGTTGGGTTTTTTGTTTGGGTATACTAATTGGTTGTCTTTCATTATACCCTCAGTTGAGTGGTGGTTGGGGGAGTGTTCGGGTATACTAATTGGTTGTCTTTCATTATACCCTCAGTTGAGTGGTGGTTGGGTTTTTTGTTTGGGTATACTAATTGGTTGTCTGTCATTTTACTCCCAGTTGAGTGGTGGTTGGGGGTGTTGTTCGGGTATCCTAACTGGTTGTCTGTCATTATACCCTCAGTTGAGTGGTGGTTGGGTTTTTTGTTTGGGTATACTAATTGGTTGTCTGTCATTTTACTCCCAGTTGAGTGGTGGTTGGGTTTTTTGTTTGGGTATACTAATTGGTTGTTTGTCATTATACCCCCAGTTGAGTGGGGGTTGGGGGGGGTGTTCGGGTATACTAATTGGTTGCCATTCATCGCTAGTTAAGAGAGCTTGTTCACAAGATAGATCATAAACACCCTGACAGGTTTAGTTCACGTGATCATATCGTATCATCACGTTCTATACCTGCTTGATAGAATTTGGTGTATGTTGGTTAAGGTAAAGGGTCAAAAGTCACACCTTACCACTTTAGAGGTAAGAAACAGGTGTATAAGATCCCATGCCACTCAGATAAGAACCAGGTGTATAAGATCCCAAGCCACTCAGGTAAGAAACGGGTGTGTAAGATACCATGCCACTCATGTAAGAAACGGGTGTATAATATACCATGCCTCTCAGGTAAGAAACAGGTGAATAAGATACCATGCCACTCGGGTAAGAAACAGGTGTATAAGATAACAAGCCACTCAGGTAAGAAACGGGTGTGTAAGATACCATGCCACTCAGGTAAGAAACAGGTGTATAAGATACCATGCCACTCAGATAAGAAACAGGTGTATAAGATACCAAGCCACTCAGGTAAGAAACAGGTGTATAAGATACCATGCCACTCGGGTAAGAAACAGGTGTATAAGATACCATGCCACTCAGGTAAGAAACGGGTGTATAAGATACCATACCACTCATCGAAATCTTAACTCAGTTTGACCATGTTGGACAGGGCGTATGATGAAAATCCAGAGGACGCCATCAAACAATGCCAGGTGTTACTGGAGGAACCACATCTAGATGATTCTGTCCGTATGGGAGATGTGTATGGCCTCATCATTGAGCATTATGCAAGGAGAGAACGCTGGAAGGCGGTAAGCTGAGAAAAGTTTATTACACAAACCTAAATGTGCACTTCAATAAAGAAAAAAAAAATGAGTTTATTCACTGCTGAATTCAGTGACCATGAAAACATTGATTGACCCAAAAAATACCCTAGTTACTGTTAATTTTCCATGATTTTATACAAAACTACTGGTAGTCTAACAGCCATTAAAGGGTTCCCAATTGATGGGATTTCCATGGGTATCTATGTGTACAATTATTACTTCTAATGGATTACATTTTTTCTAATGAATGAATTGATTTCATATACTGTAGTGATAAGATGCTAATGTCTCGACTAATAAATTCATTATTAATATTACCCTGGTAACCTTAAATTAAATATGATTGCGAAGTTTCTATTTAGTGTAAGGTTACTGTTAAAGTAGAATTTAGTTTCCATGCAACAATTGAAACCTTGTACAGTATTTTTTAAATATTTTATTTTTCTCATTGTGCTAAATAGATTTGTACTGTTCATATTTCATTTTTATTGATTGTGATGTAATACAATTCCAGGCCTATGCTGCAATGGAGGAGATGAAGAGTCGGATACCGGCACTCAACATGGCGTACTACGTTAACATGAGGACGATAGAGTCTGTGCACCGGGCACTGGACATCCCTCTGAGTAGGACTATCACTAGTAAGATGAACGGCATGTATGGAGGGGGTGGGGAGGAGGAGGATGGTGAAATAGTGGAAGAGGAAGTGGACCAAATGTACACAGCTGGAGATGATGTGTGATACACATAGCGTATAACTGTATGTCACAAATTCATTTAGAGACAATTCTTTTATGTTGTTTCTGCAGAAAATGTTATGGAAATGTCAGGAACATTGTATTTTCTAGATAACAGATACTCTCTCGCAACTTTAGATCTCTAGTTTCTACTTTAAAGTGAATGACTCAAGCTTAACTTCTTTAAAATTTAACTTAACTGAAGGTATTTTGGGAACAAATGATGAGGAAAGTTTACTCATGTTATCCCAACCTTTCAAAACCACTTGGTTTTTACTGACTTGTCTATTAATTGTTAATAGAGGTCTGCTAACACATACTTTTACTGACAGAGTGAAATCTGGGGACAATGTCGGCTTCATGATTTATGTCATTTCAAGACTTATAACAAAGCAAAGAAATAACAGCATTGTAAGATCCAGTTTTGGAACAAGAAAAGATAGAATGGAATCTTCAACACCTATTAGGCAAAGATTTTAATATTAAACAGCTCTCTTCTAATTTCTAAGCCCTAATAAGAGTTTGTAACCTTGGCTCTTTTGTACAAATTTAATGCTCAACAGAGGCTCTGTACGTATGTAAGTAGATGTAGGGAATATGGGAATTCAACTGGGATAAATATGTCTCCTTAATACACCGACTATATCTGGTGAAGTGATGAATTGTTTTATGATCTGATCCATTGATAAAAATTTTTAGTCTCAACATATGAAATTTTTACTTTATCTCTTTAAGAAAAGGTTATGATGTCAACTATGAATTGGTATGTACACAAATGCATTGAGGAAATTATTTTAAGATCTGAATTGTCTTCGATAAAAATGAATCTGGTTGATTTTATGATGTATGATTCCGTGGTTAAGATATGTTAGTTGTATCACTGTGACATTAGCCGACTGGAAGACTTTGATCTGGAGATATGTAACTCTGATGTGCTGTTAGACCGAGAACTAATTAGAAAAGGTCTGAAAGTGGGACAATGTGACAGTTCAGGATCACTGAGTGGTTGTGTAGTTACATATCTTTTGTCAACATTTCAATTTTAAATGTGTAAATCATGTGATGCAAAAGAAAAAGCCATACAATCTAACTGTGATGTAGAAGCAATAAAGTTGGTGTAAACTAAATGATAGCATTGTGTAAATTATTTTTAATAAATAATAAACTGTAAATTGTACATTCCAAATAACTATTACTGTAAAGTGTTTAATTTGAATCATTTGTAAGCACTTTACCCAATATTTTTTTTAAAGCACAACATAAAAAAAGGTAATCACTAAATATAAAACCACTTAATCACTACATGTTACACATATGTTTAGTGCTATACCGTGATGTGTGTCACTTGGAAATTGTTGCGGATGTGTAGAAATATGAATTTGCTATTATAGGTTTAAATTGTTAACAGTATACATTAGTATTGGGTACTTACATATGTAAACTACTGTTGTTATTTATTTTCTAACTTAGGCATTATGTAATCAGTAAGTACAAGGTGTAAGATTGTGTCTTGTAAATAGTCAAATTTCATTTTAAGTTTTTTGAAAGATAATGTTAGTTCTGGCTATGAAAAGATTTTTTCTGTGAATAATTGATGTATTTAAAAGTCACACTAAAAGAATAGTTTATTGGCTTGTGTGGTGTAAACAATTGTCATTGGTTGGACTTAGTGCTGTTGGCTTTACTGAACTAGACAGCACATATTGTAAAATGTCGCTAATTGATCTAATTTTAGATCAGTTATCTGGGCCCAGTTGTTCAAATGTGATTAGCTTAATAATCAATGATAAGCACAAATTTTATTTTTTGTGTATCATTAAGACACAACCATTGAAATAGTTAATACTTTCCAGATAGCAAATAATTACGAGTTTTACCTTGTATATTGACGAAATATTAGAGGTTGAAAAGAGTCGTTTAACAGTGATTAGGCTTAACATGTTTTGAACAACTTGACCCTGTTTGTCATTTGTGGTAATTAGTAGATAGCTGTGTGAATATTTGAATGGACAAACGGAGTTATGTAGGAAACAGTGTCTGAATGAGGAATGTTTAAGTACAATACCACGTTTATATCTGAAAAAAGTCTCCATCAAAATTGTCATAATATTTCCTTTTGTTTCAATTTATTATTCATATCATAAAAAGAATAACCCCACCTACTTACATTTCTTTGCTTTAAGTTAACCATTTCTTGTAAAGAAAACTAATGTCAATTAATTCACTATTGAAAGTAATGTGAAAATGTTCATAATGGTTGTATCGTTATAAAATAACATTATGATTTCATTTGTTTATATCATGGTTTACTTCACTGCACTGCCGTCCACAAGTCTCACTATTCTTATGCACATATATCATTCGACGTCAGACTGGGACATAGACATCCTTCTACCCTACTGGGACATAGACATCCTTCTACCCTACTTACCCTACTGGGACATAGACATCCTTCTACCCTACTAACCCTACTGGCACATTGACATCCTTCTACCCTACTGGGACATAGATATCCTTTTACCCTNGGGACATGGACATCCTTCTACCCTACTGGGACATAGACATCCTTCTACCCTACTTACCCTACTGGGACATTGACATCCTTCTACCCTACTAACCCTACTGGCACATTGACATCCTTCTACCCTACTGGGACATAGATATCCTTTTACCCTACTGGGACATAGACATCCTTCTACCCTACTGGGACATAGACATCATTCTACCCTACTGGGACATAGACATCATTCTACCCTACTGGGACATAGACATCATTCTAACCTACTGGGACATAGACATCCTTCTACCCTACTGGGACATAGACATCCTTCTACCCTACTGGGACATAGACATCCTTCTTACCTAATGGGACATAGACATCCTTCTACCCTACTTGGACATGGTCAGCCTTCTACCCTACTGGGACATAGACATCATTCTACCCTCCAGGACTATTAGCCCCACCTCAGCCTGTGATATATACTGGTGCCTTTGAAGTAGTACTGATAGCGCTGCCACAAATACATGTCATCATAATGTTTCATTAATGAAGAAATTTTCTGGAAATTAGATTTTAAAATAACTGGTAATATAAATCTGTTTTGCAGTAATTAAGGATCATTAGATGGGAATCCTTCGTGATTTTTTTAATTACATAGATAATTAGTGTCATCACTTAAACATCATTTTCTCAATCATGAGTTGAAGTGTTTGCCAACAAAACCTATATTCCTAGTTAGTGAAGTTCTCACAAAAATACACTGATTTACAGTACTTGCTAGAGTATAATGTTATGACACATTTCAGAACTCAATACATTTTAGGCTTGACATATTCACAACTCTGAAGACAGAAAAGAATGTGATGTTTTTACCTTTCTCCTCTAAGAGTGCTTTCTCTTGAGTACAAATAGTCAATACACAACCTATATATCAGTACCTACACACCAATTCTCGGTTGTGATGATCTTTTGAGTTGTCAGACTTTACAACTGTGTTATAAAGCTAAATACTGAAATGTTTGTATAGTTCTATGATTAATGTGTATTTGGAACAAGGATGACAAATTGTATACAACATAATTTATTATCATCTCGTCAGCCGTCCAACTTTTAAATTGTTGTGAAATGAATGATTTCCAATAAACTGGAAAAAATATTTTCATTGTTTTGTTTATGTTCATACTACGGTCCATTTGATATTATTGTCTGATCCACCAATACCGGTATATGTTTATGTATAGTAAATAGTAAAATATAATCATATAACTAATCATTTGACATTTTGACACCCCTCCCGATGTATTATATTAACATTTTGACACCCTTCCCTACGTTATGAGATTGACATTTTGACACCCATCCCGATGTTATTATATTGACATTTTGACACCCCTCCCGACATTATTTGATTGACATTTTGACACCCCTCCTGACGTTATTATATTGACATTTTGACACCCCTCCAGACGTTGTTAGATTGACATTTTGACACCCCTCCAGACGTTGTTCGATTGACATTTTGACACCCCTCCAGACGTTATAAGTTTGACATTTTGACACCCCTCCAGACGTTATTAGATTGACATTTTGACACTCCTCCAAATGTTATTAGATTGACATTTTGACACTCCTCCAAATATTCTAAGATTGACATTTTGACATCCCTCCAAACGTTATTATATTGACATTTTGGCATCCCTCCCGACATTATTAGATTGACATTTTGACACCCCACCCGATGTTATTAGATTGACATTTTGACACCACTCCCGACGTTATTAGATTGACATTTTGACACCCCTCCCGACGTTATTATATTGACATTTTGACACCCCTCCGGACGTTATTAGATTGACATTTTGACACCCCTCCTGACGTTATTAGATTGACATTTTGACACCCCTCCCGACGTTATTAGATTGACATTTTGACATCCTTCACGACATTATTAGATTGACATTTTGACACCCCTCCCGACGTTATTAGATTGACATTTTGACATCCCTCACGACGTATTATTAGCTTACCTGGTCCGAAGGACCAAGGTGAGCATATGCCATACCGTGGCGTCCGTCGTCCGTCCGTCAACAATTTCTTTAAATGACTTCTTCTTAACCACTGATTGGAATTCAACTAAATTTTACTGGAAGCATTCCTAGGTGGTGGGGATTCAAAATTGTACAAATGGTGGGGCTGAGGGGCGGGGCCAAAAGGTGACAATTTGGTTATATTGCTACAAACGACTTTTTCTGTAGAACTATGCACTGGATATCAATCATATTTGATCAAAAGCATTCATGGGAGGCAGGGATTCAAAATTGTACAAATGGTGTGGCTGACCCCCCAGGGGGCTGAGGGGCAGGGCGAAAAAGGGTTATTTGGCTATACTGCTTTAAGCGACTTCTTCTCTGGAACTAAGTGATGAATGTCAACCATACTTGACTGGAAGCATCCCTAGGTGGTGGTGATTCAAAATTGTACAAATGGTGGGGCTGAGGGCGGGGCCAAAAGGGGGCAATTTGGCAATATTGCTATAAACGACATCTTCTGTAGAACGATGACATGGATATTGATCATATTTGTTTGGAATCATTCATTGGAGGCAGGGATTCAAAATTGTACAAATGGTGGGGCTAACCCCCCAGGCTTAGGGGTGGGGCCAAACAAAGTTTATTACTTGGAAATGGTCAAGATCCCTAACATATAACCATATATACAATTGCTGAGTATAAAGAGAAGAATGCACATTTGCTTCCAGGTTGGCCCTAGGGTCTGGCCCCACCCTTGGAGACATAGTCCCTGGGTCATAACTTTGAAATGGTTGAGATCCCCACCCCAAAACTATATATGCAAATGCTTGGCATAAAGAGACGAATGCAGTCATAATATTAGAATAGACCATAGGGTCTGACCAAACCCCTAGGGACCTAGTTTCTTAGTCACAGATTGGAAACAGTTGAGATCCCCACCCTTTAACCATATATACAATTGCTGAATTTAAAGAGATGAGCCAGGATGGCCTTGGGGACAGCCCCATGGAGAATACCCCTAGGTCATAACTTTGAAATGGTTAAGATCCCCACCCCAAAACTATATATACAATTGTTGAGCATAAAGTGATGAATTCAGTCATGATATTAGAATTGACACCAGGGTCTGCCCCACCCTTGCAGACTTAACCCCTGGGTCATCACTTTGAACAGGTTGAGATCCCCACCCCAAAACTATATATACAAATGCTGGGCAAAAAGAGACAAATGCAGTCATGCTATTAGAATTGATCCTGGGGTCTGGCCACAACCCTAGGGACCTAGGTTCTGAGTCACAGCTTGAGATCCCCACCAAATAACCAGACATAAAATTGCTGGACATGAAAAATCTTAATACAGATATGCTACAAGGATTGACCTTGTGGTCTGGCATATTACATTGGATCTCATTTGAGGAATATTTTGCCATATTTGCTTAGATATCCAGGTGAGCGATACAGGCCCTCTTGGCCTCTTATATTGACATTTTGACACCTCTCCCGATGTTATTATATTGACATTTTGACACCCCTCCCGACGTTATTAGATTGACATTTTGAAACCCCTCCCGACGTTATTAGATTGACATTTTGAAACCCCTCCCGAAGTTATTAGATTGACATTTTGACACCCTTGCCGACGTTATTAGATTGACATTTTGACACCCCTCCAAATGTTATTAGATTGACATTTTGACACCCCTCCCGAGGTTATTAGATTGACATTTTGACACCCCTCCCGACGTTATTAGATTGACATTTTGACACCCCTCCAGACGTTATAAGATTGACATTTTGACACCCCTCCCGACGTTATTAGATTGACATTTTGACACCCCTCCCGACGTTATTAGATTGACATTTTGACACCACTCCAGACGTTATTATATTAACAGTTTGACACCCCTCCAAATGTTATTAGATTGACATTTTGACACCCCTCCCGACGTTATTAGATTGACATTTTGACACCCCTCCCGACGTTATTATATTAATATTTTGACACCCCTCCCGACATTATTAGATTGACATTTTGACACCCCTCCAGACGTTAGTGGAGGTATACTAGACTCAGCTTGTCCATCTTTCTGTCATGCATTTGTATGCCCATGGATAAAAGCTTGTCTGAACAACTCCTCATATCCATTAAAACGATTTGAAGAAAACAGTATATGCGTACTATTTTTCTGCTTTGACTTCCCCCTTTCTACATTTAAGATGGCTGCTTTGGCAAATGATTGGATGATGATGCTTTATTGGCGACTACATGTATTAGTTAGGGGATATTGGTAACATTCTTTGTTTCAAACTTTTGTATATTTGGACAACAGTCAACATTGTATTGGCCTTAATGCAATTTCACACCCATGCTCACAACTTGATGTACATTACAAAATATTTTTGACCATTTTCATGGCGGAGCGGAAGTATAAGCGTTTGGCTTAAAGTCGGAGTTGTGTCAAAATTAGAGTAAATAAGTGTCAAAGACCAACTGGGACCTCATTGGAGATACCAATAGAAAACAACTGTGGAGACAGGAAAACCCGTCAGGAACCCCACAAAAGTAGTGAGAAGAAGTAATCACAGTCCCAGTTGGTTATCTAAATCTGAAAAACGATTCAAAAAAATACAACATCTTTAAAATAAGATCCATCAAATACCAACATGGGGAATCTTCTACTAAACTCAAGATCTCAAGAGAAAAGCTATAGCACACAGTGAAAGGTAGCAGAATGGCACCAGAACATACGAGAAGTGATCAAATACTGACATATCAAGGGATAGAGAGAAAACATAGAGAAATAGAACTTGACAGACATTGGATGTTCAGGACGATTTGCTTTCTAACGGTGGAATTAACACAATGTCACAGTAATAAGGCACATGTCTCTTGTTTAACATAAAAGGGACATTTCGCCTTACGTAATGGTAAGTACATACAATCAACTCGACCTTCAGCCCTTGGTGTCTAGGAGTAATAGATAACGGCTCGGTATTCCTTGGCCGGTACAGGAATAGATCGTTTCGTGATACGTTGGGGCTTGGGTCAAACGTTACATGCATATAACGTATGCTCAGACCAATAGAATAAAACATTTAACCAGTCCATCCTCATGTCGCCTGTAAAAACTAAAGCCAATGTGGAAGTACAATTGACGGCTTACTATTTCAGGTACCACTTCAACCAATAATGGATCACGTGTAAATCATTTGTTGACGTTTATTGATAACACTAGAAAAAGCTAGAAAAAGCTAGAATTCTACTTCTAATTGACTAGCATGTAAGCTGTATATATTGATTTCAGAAGATGTTCACAAGTACATAACTTCGTTTATATGCCCAATCCCTATAAAGTTCCTCCGCTAGAAAGACAATCAAATCTTGTTATATAACCCACCTGACTTAATGGCATTAATTCAACCAACAAAAACGCTTCAATAAATCACGTTACTGTTTAATCCTGATACTAAACCCCTTTGAAATTGGGTTCTAGTTGTATGTGTGTTGATTTGAATCTTTACTGTTAGATTTAATCCTTGTGTTAATAGCAGGGACGTTTTCTGTGTTATCTCCAACACCATTCCAAGACTCGCCCTCCTCGTGCACCGAACAGACACCAGCTAACGACATGGTTGACAGATTATTGTATTTTATCTCCATTTCAGTGTTTTTTCATCAAGGTAAGTTGATGTAGATACACACGTGCTTCACATGAGATAGTTAATATTGGGGTAATCTCTAGTAACACCACGAGATAATAGTGAATACGATTGTATGATAATAGTTTCACATACAAATGGGATGGTTTGATATCACTTGATACAAATCCTTTTCCTATCATTAAGATACTTATTTTAATGTGATTGAATAAGACTCAAGTCACTGTAATATAGAGACAAAGGTTATAATGGCCTTTTCTTATCTTTAGAGAGTACAACCGTGCTATATATATATATACACTATGTAATACCTATACTAGGGCAATCCCATTTTGATGACTGTACATGTACATCTAAACCAAAGACTTTTCATAGAATTAATAATCATGTTTGAAACATTATGTAGACACAGTTGCTGGACCTCCAGGTTTATCTATATAAACAAATTTATTTATAAAGGACTTGCTGGACCTCCAGGACTACCTATATAAACATTTTTATAAAGGACTTCCTGGATCTCCAGGTTTACCTATATAAACATATTTATAAAGGACTTGCTGGACCTCCATGTTTACCTATATAAACATATGTATAAAGGACTTCCTGGATCTCCAGGTTTACCTATATAAACATATGTATAAAGGACTTGCTGGACCTCCAGGTTTACCTATATAAACATATTTATAAAGGACTTCCTGGATCTCCAGGTTTACCTATATAAACATATTTATAAATGACTTGCTGGACCTCCAGGTTTACCTATATAAACATATATATAAAGGACTTGCTGAACCTCCAGGTTTTCCTATATAAACATATATATAAAGGACTTGCTGGATCTCCAGGTTTACCTATATAAACATATTTATAAATGACTTGCTGGACCTCCAGGTTTACCTATATAAACATATTTATAAAGGACTTCCTGGATCTCCAGGTTTACCTATATAAACATATGTATAAAGGACTTGCTGGACCTCCAGGTTTACCTATATAAACATATATATAAAGGACTTGCTGGATCTCCAGGTTTACCTATATAAACATATTTATAAATGACTTGCTGGACCTCCAGGTTTACCTATATAAACATATATATAAAGGACTCGCTGGACCTCCATGTTTACCTATATAAACATATGTATAAAGGACTTCCTGGATCTCCAGGTTTACCTATATAAACATATTTATAAAGGACTTGATTGTCCTCCAGGTTTACCTATATAAACATTATTTATTTATAAAGGACTCGCTGGACCTCCAGGTTTACCTATATAAACATATTTATAAAGGACTTGCTGGATCTCCAGGTTTACCTATATAAACATATTTATAAAGGACTTGATGGTCATCCAGGTCTACCTATATAAACATATGTATAAAGGACTTGCTGGACCTCCAGGTTTACCTATATAAACATATATATCAAGGACTTGATGGTCCTCCAGGTTTTCCTATATAAACATATATATAAAGGACTTGCTGGACCTCCAGTGATTTCTGTGTCAGTTTTTGTTAAGAGATTTAGACATACTTCTAGTGATTTCTGTGTCATTTTTGTTAATAGATTTAGACATACTTCTAGTGATTTCTGTGTCAGTTTTTGTAAACAGATTTAGACATACTTCAAGTGATTTCTGTGTCATTTTTTGTTAATAGATTTATACAAACTTCTAGTGATTTCTGTGGCATTTTTGTTAATAGATTTAGACAAACTTCTAGTGATTTCTGTGGCATTTTTGTTAATAGATTTATACAAACTTCTAGTGATTTCTGTGTCAGTTTTTGTAAAGAGATTTAGACATACTTCTAGTGATTTCTGTGTCAGGGCGGGGCCCCAAAGGGAAATTTGACCAATATTTCAAAAATCTTTTCCTCCAGACTCAGAGGTACTAGAGTCAATTTTTCTGCATGGGGATGGAAAGATCATCATGAGCTTTGTTTAAATTGCAAATTTCAGTATTCCCGAGCCATCCGTTCTCCTTTGGGGAGGGGGTAAAATTTACTATAGTTTATATAGGGAAATAACACTTTTGGGTATATTTTGTCCATTTTCAGCAGGAAAATATTCAAACTTGGTTGGAATGATTATGATGCCAGATGGCACTTAGATGGCATAAGAAAATAAGATCCTGCCCCATTCACAGGGACTGGAGGGGTGGGCCCAAATGGGGATTATTGTTAAAAGATAAAAAATCTTCATCAGACTCAGTTACCTTAATTACCTCAATTGTAAATTCCATTATCCCCCAGGTCGTATGCTCTCCCTTGGGGAGAGGGTATACTTTTCAATAGCAAAATAATTTATTTGAATAGTTTTTTAAGTTCTTATCCTTTGGACACTGACATGACAATTATTGTATTTCATTTTGTTTACATGTTGTTTTCCACATTTCGTACATCCCAACAATGAAATTGAGCTACCAGTACCTATAATATAACTCAGGTGATTTTCAAATCACTCGCTTGCTTTTGTATTAACATTCATTTTCCATAACCCGGGACCGATTAGTATCTAGACTCGTCTTAGTTGACAGGAAAAAATAATGAGAGGCTAGAACACCTATAGTGTAATATTGGAAATGATACACGCCATACCATCCATTTTTGTCTGCTTACTTAATCTTTAATTTCAGCAAAAACACATTTCATCTAATTGATATCATACCATAAGCTGAAGTAACATTTCTGGTAGTTAAAAGTGACGGCTGTTATACGTTTCCGTAATGGCGTTATCAGGACTGGTTTTGTTTTTAAGCTGACAGTACTGTTTCCTGTGGAAGACCTACTGTCCAGCCACATCAAGTGAAGATCGTGGGAGGCCGACCAGCCATGCAAGGGTCACTGCCATGGATGGTATGGTTTTAATCATTCGATCGTCTAGGTATCGGTATATTGTTCATTACTAAAAATTGACAAGATTTTAAGATGATTAAATATTTCTTCCTTATCATAAACTGCCTTATCTGTATAATTCTATTTTTTATCAGAAAACAACACTGTTAAATATATACTCAGCAAAAAAAGAAATGTATACGTATTAACATATGCCTCACCAATAAGGTGGCTCCACCCTTTCGCAATTAGCCAGCAGAATTCAATGAAAGTTTCACATAATGGTTATGTCAATATGTAGAGATGATTTTATGAAAATCAAAGCATTCCGATAAACTGTGGATTTTTTTTGCAAAAAATACCGAAAAATTGAATTTTGTGAGTGTGTGGCATTGTTCAAAACTATTACAACAATATAATAATGAAAAGAAACATTGTTAATCAACCCTACACATATTTTATTTATCATAAAATATCTACAACATTTTACAAAAAGCGTTTTTTATTGAAATTGTATGGATAAAAGTTGCTAAATACCAGCTAAAAGCAAATAGGACAAATAGTTTCATACAAAAAGAATGAAAAATTGAATCAAATACTCACAAAGTCTTTATAATTCATTTATTTTACTTTTTACAATAATTTTGATCCTGTTGAGAGTTGTCTACCTTGAAAAAAATCGGAACTTTTTTTCAGAGGGATAGATAAATTAATAATAAATTAAGTTACTACATTGTATATTTAATTGTCAATTTACTGTTCTTTTATGGAACAAAATTAAATTGATCTCAATCATGTACTCTTTGGACATCATTCCATAGCCCCCTTACGCATGGTATATTTACATGTCAATACATATGTAACCATAGGGCATAGGCTATCGCATGGTATGTCGTTATCACGTGCACGCACATACACTTGCACTTTATAGGGATCTTGATATTTTACAAACCACTATTTTCACAGAGTTATTGTAATAGCATTTGTGAAACGATTTATCTGACAGAGCGTAACTCGCTCGACAACACTACCGTTAGCACGTGATACGTACAGGTGAGGTCGGTAAACAAAACACATCCGTCTGCATTCCATGCGCCTCATATACGACCTTCTTGAAGTCGTCTGATCTCATGTCAGTGTCTTCCCGTGAGTTAATTAATGTCACGTGTGGTTACAAATTTTCAAGTTAAGTCTCGATATCGGGTGTTGACATATCATCGTCACGCACGTGTACTGTTGTTTACCCGGTGTACGCACGTGTACTGTTGTTTACCCGGTGTACGCACGTGTACTATTGTTTACCCGGTGTTACTATAATTTAAACTACGGTAATGGAATGCCCGATACGCAATACGGAAATGACGACACGAAAATACGACAAGAAAAACATGTGTATTACGAAGGGTGGAAAGTCCTTAACTCTATGGAAAGTCAGGACAGTCATCGACAGATACGATAGCCGCCATCTTGTTGTTGTCGTTTGGTTCATGCAGGCAATGATTAAAGACATCCAGAATAGGGAGGGAAGTTCTTACTTTTGTATACGAATGTTCTGCACATACAATTAGAGCATTTAACTGCATTTAACAGTTGTCGCCTGGTTACATTTTTAATGGAGACCATTGTTCGGAAAGTTTTCGGTCCGATAATGGCCGTCTGCGGCTTGTCCAAGAATTGGACCCGTGAGGTTTTGCGGCAGCAGGAAATACACATTAAGCTCATCCAACTAATTAATAAAAGACTGGTCGTATACGGAAATGTAAATATAACGATTGGACGTCTGTCAGATTGCAGTTACAGCCAATATGAATACAATCTGGGCGACAGATGAATAATCATGACGTCATTCTATTTATCTGTCACCTAGATTGCATTCATATTGGCTGTAACTGCAATCTGACAGACGTTCAATCCTTAAGTTACCTTGCAGAACAGCAGAATATTGTTGATTATAAAAATGACGTTTTAGTGGCTAGTGATTTTGGTAGGAATATCTGTATCGATTAGCAGTGTTTTAAATTAAATCAGTCATGCATGAAATTCGCCGATCACAAAGTACCCCCAAACAGATTTGTTTACTTTTCTCGTAGGGTTGACGCAACGTGAAGTTGCGAGACATTTTGATTTTAGCTTAAAACAGTAAACCAATTACTGCAACATTTTCACACGACGGCGTCCACGTCCGACCGTTCAAGAAGCGGTAGACCACGAGTTACCACCCCTCGTGAAAACCGCCGGATACGTCTGCAGCATATTCGTGACCGGATTGTTCCTGCAGCTATGACGACAAGAACATTAAGTGACAACACGATACAAAACCGTTCACAATCGCCGTGGCTGGGCTCGAGCACACCACGGATGGCCGTAGCTGGGCTCGAGCACACCACAGATGGCCGTAGCTGGGCTCGAGCACACCACAGATGGCCGTAGCTGGGTTCGAGCACACCACAGATGGTTATTGCGGCAATGGAATAACGTTTTGTTTTCGGATAAGTCGTGATTTTGTTTGATATATGGTGATGGGAGGCAGCGAGTCTGGCGACGCCGTGGTCAACGCTTCGCAAACTGCTGTGATGCTCAACTCGACAGGTTTGGCGGGGAGCGTCATTGGGGTGGTATTTCCGGTGGTAATCGTACCAGGTTAGTGATGGTTAATAGCAATTCAAATGCGGCGCGATATTGCGATGAAATTTCAACACCTGTTGTAAGGATCAGGGAGCGGCGGTCATTCCCAGCATGACAGCTACACCCCATATGAGTCGTGTGAACAGGACCTTCCTGCAACAAAACAATGTTCACGTTTTGGATGAGCTGCACAATCGCCGGATTTGTTTCCAATAGAGCACATTTAGGACGTTATTACCTGTGGCGTCGTCCACATCAGCCCTCCAACCTCCAGGTGCTCGCCCAGGCATTGGTTGGGGAGTTGAATGTATAACATGTTCCAGATATGGGAAACGTATCACTTGTCTCTTATCAAAACCCTTTTTAATATTTTTCTCGTAATCGTGTATATTCTGCGTTGTCTCTCCGATGCACTAGCAGGTCCTGAATATGATATTATGTCATCCAAAAGCATTGATATTGTACAACACACGGCCCGTAGTATGAAAACAACAATGTCTTTTCACGAACATTGAATGGTACAGTATTAATGTTTTGGATACCATACCACGAGCTGTATGTATTATACAATGTTTTGGATATCGTACCACGGGCCGTATGTACTATGCAATGTTTTGGATACCATACCATGGGCCGTATGTACTATACAATGTTTTTGATACCATACCACGGGCCGTATGTACTATACAATGTTTTGGATATCGTACCACGGGCCGTATGTACTTTACAAAGTTTTGGATACCATACCACGGGCCGTATGTATTATACAATGTTTTGGATATCGTACCACTGACTGTATGTACTATACAAAGTTTTGGATACCATACCACGGGCCGTATGTACTATACAATGTTTGGGATATCGTACCACGTGCCGTATGTACTATCCAAAGTTTTGGATACCATACCAGGGGCCGTATGTACTATACAATGTTTTTGATACCATACCACTGGCCGTATGTACTATACAATGTTTTGGAGATCGTACCACGTGCCGTATGTACTATACAATGTTTTGGTTATCGTACAACGGGCCGTATGTACTATACAATGTTTTGGTTACCGTACCACGGGCCGTATGTACTATACAATGCTTTTGATACCATACCACGGGCCGTATGTATTATACAATGTTTTGGATATCGTACCCCTGACTGTATGTACTATACAAAGTTTTGGATACCATACCACGGGCCGTATGTACTATAGAATGTTTTGGATATCGTACCACGGGTCCTATGTACTATACAATGTTTTGGAGATCGTACCACGTGCCGTATGTACTATCCAAAGTTTTGGATACCATGCCAGGGGCCGTATGTACTATACAATGTTTTGGAGATCGTACCACGTGCCGTATGTACTATCCAAAGTTTTGGATACCATGCCAGGGGCCGTATGTACTATACAATGTTTTGGTTACCGTACCACGGGCCGTATGTACTATACAGAATTTTGGATATAGTACCACGTGCCGTATGTGTTATACAATGTTTTGGATATCGGACCACGTGCCGTATGTACTATCCAAAGTTTTGGATACCATGCCAGGGGCCGTATGTACTATACAATGTTATTGATACCATACCACGGGCCGTATGTACTATAGAATGTTTTGGATATCGTACCACGGGTCCTATGTACTATACAATGTTTTGGATACCATACCAAGGGCCGTATGTACTATACAATGTTTTGGTTATCGTACCACAGACCGTATGTACCATACAATGTTTTGGATATCGTACCATGGACCGTATGTACTATACAATGTTTTTGATATCGTACAACGTGTCGTATGTACTATGCAATGTTTCGGATATCGTACCACGTGTCCTATGTTCTATACAATGTTTTGGATATCGTACCAGGTGCCGTATGTACTATCCAAAGTTTTGGATACCATGCCAGGGGCCGTATGTACTATACAATGGTTTTGATACCATACCACGGGCCGTATGTACTATAGAATGTTTTGGATATCGTACCACGGGCGGTATGTACCATACAATGTTTTTGATACCATACCACGGGCCGTGTGTACTATACAATGTTTTTGATATCATACCTCGGGCCGTATGTACTATACAATGTTTTGGAGATCGTACCACGTGCCGTATGTACTATCCAAAGTTTTGGATACCATGCCAGGGGCCGTATGTACTATACAATGTTTTTGAGATCGTACCACATACCAGGGGCCGTATGTACTATACAATGTTATTGATACCATACCACGGGCCGTATGTACTATACAATGTTTTGGATATCGTACCACGGACCGTATGTACTATACAATGTTTTTGATATCGTACCACGTGTCGTATGTACTATGCAATGTTTTGGATATCGTACCACGTGTCCTATGTACTATACAATGTTTTGGATATCGTACCACGGGCCGTAGGTACTATACAATGTTTTTGAGATCGTACCACGTGTCGTATGTACTATACAATGTTTTGTATATCGTACCACGGGCCGTATGTACTATACCATGTTTTGGATATCGTACCAAGGGCCGTGGGTACTATACAATATTATGGATGTCGGACCACGGGCCGTATGTACTATACCATGTTTTGGATATCGTACCAAGGGCCGTATGTACTATACAATATTATGGATGTGGTACCACGGGCCGTATGTACTATACAATTTTTTGGATATCGTACCACTGGCCGTATGTACTATACAATATTATGGATGTGGTACCACGGGCCGTATGTACTATACCATGTTTTGGATATCGTACCAAGGGCCGTGGGTACTATACAATATTATGGATGTCGTACCACTGGCCGTATGTACTATACAATTTTGTATATCGTACAACACGCCGTATGTACTATACAATGTTTTTGATATCGTTCCACGTGTCGTCTGTACTATGCAATGTTTTGGATATCGTACCACTGGCCGAATGTACTATACAATGGTTTGGATATCGTACCAAGGGCCGTGTGGACTATACAATATTATGGATGTCGGACCACGGGCCGTATGTACTATACCATGTTTTGGATATCGTACCAAGGGGTATGTACTATACAATGTTTTGGTTATCGTACCACATGTACTATACAATGTTTTGGATATCGGACCAAGGGCCGTGTGTACTATACAATATTATGGATCTCGTACCACGGGCCGTATGTACTATAGAATGTTTTGGATATCGTACCACGTGTCCTATGTTCTATACAATGTTTTGGATATCGTGCCACGTGTCCTATGTACTATACAATGTTTTGGATACCGTCCCACGGTCCGTATGTACTATACAATGTTTTCGATATCGTACCACGGGCCGTATGGACTATACAATGTTTTGGATATCGTTACACGGGCCGTATGTACTATACAACGTATGTACTATACAATGTTTTGTATATCGTACCACGGGCCGTATGTACTATAGAATGTTTTGGATATCGTACCACGTCCCGTATGTACTATACAATGTTTTCGATATCGTACCACGGGCCGTATGTTCTATACAATGTTTTGGATATCGTCCCACGGGCGGTATGTACTATACAATGTTTTGGAAATCGTACCACGGGCCGTATGTACTATGCAATGTTTTGGATATCGTGCCACGTGTCCTATGTACTATACAATGTGTTGGATATCGTACCACGGGCCGTATGTAATATACAATGTTTTGGATATCGTATCACGGGCCATATGTACTATACAATGTTTTGGAAATCGTACCACGGGCCGTATGTACTATACAATATTATGGATATTGTACAACGGGCCGTATGTACTATCCAATTTTTTGGATATCGCACCACGGGCCGTATATACTATACAAAGTTTTGGATATCGTACAACGGGCCGTATGTACTATACAATGTTTTGGATATCGTACCACTGGCCGAATGTACTATACAATGTTTTGGATATCGTACCAAGGGCCGTGTGTACTATACAATATTATGGATGTCGTACCACGGGCCGTATGTACTATACAATATTATGGATATCGTACAACGGGCCGTATGTACTATACAATGTTTTGGATATCGTACCACGGGCCGTATATACTATACAAAGTTTTGGATATCGTACAACGGGCCGTATGTTTGAGGGAGAGTCATGTGTACTACAATGTCTTTGTTGTTGCTAGGCCATGTTGGTGGAGCTTGGTGACCAGGTGTGTGGCGGCAGTATTATAGCTGACAACCTCATCCTCAGTGCAGCACATTGTTTCGAGGAGTATGACACTATTTTAATATATAATACCCGGCTGTCATCATGTTATAATACCCGACTGTGATCATGTAATAAGACCCGACTGTAATCATTCTATAATACCCGGCTGCACTCATGTTATAATACCCGACTGTAATCATGTTATAATACCCGACTGTAATCATGTTATAATACCCGACTGTAATCATGTTATAATACCCGATTGTGATCATGTTATAATACCCGACTGTAATCATGTTATAATACCCGGCTGTAATCATGTTATAGTACCCGACTGTGATCATGCTATAATACCCGACTGTGATCATGTTATAATTCCCGAATGTGATCATGTTATAATCCCCGACTGTAATCATGCTTTAATACCCGACTGTAATCATGTTATAATACCCGCCTGTGATCATGCTATAATACCCGACTGTAATCATGCTTTAATACCCGACTGTAATCATGTTATAATACCCGCCTGTGATCATGCTATAATACCCGACTGTAATCATGCTATAAAACCCGCCTGTAATCATGTTATAATACCCGACTGTGATCATGTTATAATTCCCGAATGTGATCATGTTATAATCCCCGACTGTAATCATGTTATCATACCCGACTGTAATCATGTTATAATACCCGACCGTGATCATGCTATAATACCCGACTGTAATCATGTTATAATACCCGACTGTGATCATGCTATAATACCCGACTGTAATCATGCTATAAAACCCGACTGTAATCATGTTATAATACCCGACTGTAATCATGTTATAAGGCCCGACTGTGATCATGTTATAATCCCCGACAGTAATCATGTTATAAGACCAGACTGTAATCATTTTATAATACCCGACTGTAATCATGTTATAAGACCCGACTGTAATCATTTTATAATACCCGACTGTTATCATGTTATAATACCCGACTATAATCATGCTATAATACCCGACTATAATCATGTTATAATACCCGGCTGTAATCATGTTATAAGACCCGACTGTAATAATGTTAGGCAGAGAAAATGAATCGAATGAAATGATTGAATTTTCCCTTCAAGTTTACAATATATATCTTCTAAAATACATGTTTAATCGACAATTTGTGATTACCCTGTAGGACTCTGTAGAATCATGTCTAACTTTGCCGCTGACCAACATCTAAGCAACAATAAACACGTATCAAAATAGGAATATACCAACAACATGATTGTATTTGATGTAATGTAATTATTAAATGTTTATGTCTTCAAAAAGAGGCGGGTTGACTCGAAAAATAAACAATCATTGTCTGCAATGTCTCTGCGTAAAAATTTATATGCAATACACACATTGCAATTCAATATCTTAGCTTGTTTTTCTATTCATCTTATTGAAATGTTGTTTTCTTCCAACAACAGTCCTGGAAGTCTGAACTCAGCCCGATGGGAAGTGCGAGTTGGGGCGTACACTGTAAACTCACGTATGACGTATGAAAGCGTGCATCATGTTGAGAAAATCGTCATGCACGAGGCATATAACACAAGCACTGTAGCCAATGATATTGCGATCATGGTATTATCTCAGAGAATCAACTATAACAACATGGTAAAGCCAATATGTCTACCAACAAACTCCATCCACGTGACAGATGGCCAGCACTGCCTAGCTGCTGGCTGGGGGGAGACACGAGGTAAATTTTCTCAACTAATTTCCTAATATAATATTATGATGTTGTACACTTAGTGAAATAATCATACGGTGTCATGACACAAGTGGAAGTCATCACACGAGGTGAAGGTCAACATACGATATAAAGTTCAACACACAAGAGAACGTCAACACACAAGGTGAAGGTCAACATACGATATGAAGTTCAATACACAAAGGTAAAGGAACGGAAATCACAAATTAGTCGAAAAAACAACAAAAATACTGCAAAAATACATCAGATTTTTTCAAATTCCGAATTTGATTAATGTCGCTTAGTCATTTGGTAACAGGTTAAGTTAATTTTGACCTTTTTCTGATAACAATACAATTAATCTATATATGATCCGATGGCCGCTGTGTTTGAGGTTGTGTTAAGTTGATTTGTGATGTCCTTACAGGAACTGGTTCACAGGATGTGCTGAATCAGGTGATCGTACCAGTACTGAGTGACAACACGTGCTCTCGTAGCGACTGGTACGGCCGTGAGTTTATACCCGCCACCACGTTCTGTGCAGGTTACGAAAACGGCAGGAAAGACAGCTGCACGGTATGTAGACAAATAACACAAAGATCAAATCAAGTCTTTTGATTTCGTTCTTTATGTAACAAGTTTTATTATCTCACCTGCCCGAAGGGCAAGTGAGCTTATGTCATGGTGCGGCGTCCGTCGTCCGTCGTCCGTCGTCCGTCGTCTGTCCGAAGTCCGTTGTCCGTCGTCCATCCTCGTCCATCAACTTTTCCTTTAAACAACTGAAAGCTTTGTTGGTAGGAGCCTGACAAAGTTTGAGAACGAACATGACCTTGACCTACTTTCAAGGTCACAGGGGTCAAATATGTCAAGAACTTCAAACGACTTCTTCTGAAGAACTAAAAGGTATAGAATCTTCATATTTGGCTGATGGCTTCCTGGGATGGACCCCAACAAAGTATGAGAATTAAAATTAGTTTGACCTACTTTCAAAGTCACAGTGGTCAAATATATCAAACGCTTAAAACGACTTCTTCAGAAGAACTAAAAGGTACAGAATCTTTATATTTGGCTGATGGCTTCCTGGGATAGAGCCCGACAAAATTTGAGAATAAAAATTAGTTTGACCTACTTTCAAGGTCACAGGGGTCAAATTTGTCGACTGTTTCAAATGACTTCTCATGGAGAACTGAGAGGTAAAGAATCTTTATGTTTGGTTAATGGCTTCCTGGGATAGAGCCCAACAAAGTTTGAGAACGAAAATGACCTAGACCTACTTTCAAGGTCACATGGGTCAAATGTGTCGAATGCTTCAAATGACTTCTCATGGAGAACTGAGAGGTAAAGAATCTTTATATTTGGCTGGTGATTTCCTTGGATAGAGCCCGGCAAAGTCACAGGGGTCAAATATGTCGAACCCTTCAAACGACTTCCTCTGAATAAATAAAATGTATATATCTTCATATTTGGCTGGTGGCTTCCTTAGATAGAGCCTGGCAAAGTTTGAGAATGGAAATGACCTTGACCTTCTTTCAAGGTCACAAGGGTCAAATATGTCAAAACATCAAATGACTTCTGAAGAAGAACTAAAATGTATAGAATCTTCCTATTTGGGATGGAGCTCACCAAAGTTTGCGAATGAAAATGACCTCAACCTAAAGGTCACAGAGGTCAATAACATTTTAAAGGATTTGTTCTTAAGAACTAATAGGAATGAATTCATAAGATTTGGCTGCTAGCTTTTTGAAATAGAGCTCACCAATTTGTGGAGAAAAATTACATTGAACTTCTGAAGAAAAACCCAAAAGCATAGAATCTTACAATAATATTTGGCTGGTAGTTTCAACAGATGGAGCCGACAAAGTTTGCGAGGGGTATATTTTTAGTGCAATATACTATTTAATGAGAATATTTTGCTATGACTGCTTAAATATTCAGGTGAGCGATACAGGCCCTCTGGGCCTCTTGTTTATTACATAATAGGCCTGTTATCCAGTGAATTCGCCCGTGTAATATTTAGAGATTATTATATGACCATTTTGATATCACACTCCATATCAGCCCGAGAGTCCTGATGTCAGCCAGAGGTCTCCCATTCCCATAACATTCACAGACTTGATAGTAATTATTTATCACAAAGACGCAGTACATACTGAAAGAAGAATTGATATTTATCACAAAGACACAGTACATACTGAAAGAAGAATTGATCTTGAGCATGAAGCTATAGAAATGATATGGATTGAAGTATTATTCAATAAACAAAAAATATTAATAGGATTTATTACGTACTTACTAATAAATACGTTTTTTTTTGTGTATATGCGATACGACACAATTGCTCTTAACCATATTAGCCCTCGCCGTATCACACCCCCAAAGCGGTATCAGCCCCACCGTATTACACCCCAAAACCCGTATCAGCCCGCAAAACCCGTATCACACCCCTTTTGAATTCTTTTCGTTTTTGGATATTTCAAAAGGAAAATAAATCATAAGATAGAAGCTTTTATTAGTAAGTATGTAATAAACAGAATAAAGCACGCCTTTTTCCATATCACACCCGGTATCAACCCTCGACCAATATCAGCCCAAGGACCGAATATATTGCAGTCTCTGGTTGATACTGGGTGTGATATGGAAAAAAGGCATGTATTATTCTCTATGTATTTATAGACCTGAATCAAATGTTAAACATTGGGATAAATTATACCATGTTCTAGATAATGCATGTAAGATATCACTTAACATCATAATAACTGGGGATATAAATGTAAGTATGTTGAATATACCTACTAACCTCCATTTAAATAGACTAATTGTAAAATATAACTTTACAAATCTAATTAATAAACCTACCAGGATAACACAAACTACTGCCACTGCTATTGATATTGTATTCACTTATAACATTAATCTTATAAAACATAATACAGTGAATACACCAATATGCAGTGACCACTCTGTTGTTCCTTTTACCTGTTCAGATTCTGTATTTAAGCATTTTTTTTTACCAGGAAACTATATTAAACTATGACAATGCAGATTTTGATCAAATGAATAGAGCTCTCAATGAAATAAACTGGGAAATACTAATAAATACTCTTGACTCGAATGAGTTTAATACATTTTTAACAATTCTATTAATAATCAAATAGAAGAATGTATATCATCCAAAATTATAACTGTTCGCCCCAATGATAAACCTTGGATGAGGAATATTATAAGGCAAAAAATTAGACAGAGAAATAGATTACATAAAAAAGCTGTAAATAACAACACTGCAATTAATTGGGAAAATTTCAGAAAGGCTAGAAATGAAGTAGTAGACCTTGTTAGAGAAGCTAAAAACACTTATTATGAAAAATTACAACAATCGCTTAGTGATCAATCTGTGGCTCCTAATAAATGGTGGAAAATTGCTAGATCTGTCATGAATTCAAATAATGTATCAAATTGTCTTCCTCCCCTTTATGAAAATAATAACTTAATACATCATCCATTTGAAAAAGGAGAAAGTCTAAATAACTACTTCAGTTCAATATTAACTTCCTCTGAAAATCTTGAACCCCTTACCCCCCATGAAAATACTTTTCCCTTTCTTCTAGACAATATTATTATATCTGAAGAGGACATTAAAGGTCAACTGTGTTTATTTAATGATAAAAAAACCTCCTGGCCCAGATGACATGATACCCAAGAAATTAGCACCTTCTCTAATATGTCCTATAAGACTATTGAATCTGGTATTATACCTCTTTCTTGGTAACAGCTAATATTAATGCAATATACAAAGGTAAGGGTGCTCAAAATGATGTCTCTAACTATAGGCCACTATCTATTACATCATGTTTTAGCAAAAATTTTGAAAAAAATATTTTTAAATATATGTTTAATTATATGAAAGAATGTGATATCATAACGAAACACCAATCAGACTTCTTACCAAGAGGCTCGACTGTAAACCAGTTATTTTTCTATATATGACACTATTGAAAATAATGAAATCAGATTTGTATTTTGTGATGCAAGTAAGGCGTTTGCTAGAGTTTGGCATGAGGGTTTACTTTTAAATTGGAATCGTATGGCATAAAAGGGAAAATATTACAATGGTTTAGTAATTATCTTTCTGATAGAAAGCAAAGAGTATCAACAGAGGGTGTTTATTCAACTTTTAAGCATGTCAAAGCCGGTGTACCCCAAGGCTCGGTCCTTGGTCCGTTTCTTTTCTTAATCTTTATTAATGATATAACAGAATGTGTGACAAAGTAAAATAAAAACTTTTTGCAGATGATACTTCTCTCTATGAAGTAATAGACAACAATCAAAATGAAATTTCAGTGAAATTAAATAATGATCTAGGTTATATTAATGCATGGGCAAAAAAATGGGATATCAAATTTAATTCACTAAAAACTGAATCTGTAATCTTCTCAAGGAAAAGGGAACAAAATCATCCAGATATCTTATTTGGTAATGAAACTGTAACTAACAAACAAACTCATAAGCATCTTGGTTTAACTTTTAGTAGTGATGGAAAATGGACATATCATATTGACAACATGTATGAGCTAGCTTATAAAAGAATGAATATATTGAGAATGTTAAAACACAAATTGGATAGAAAAAGTCTTACAACAATATATACCTCTTTTATTAGACCAATACTTTTTATTTTTTATTTTATGGTTTATTATCCCGAATACAATAGGGAATACCAGGATGGGGCCTGGCCTAATCCCTTTACATAGTACATGTTGCATATTCATTCTCTGACTCTCTCTATTTTGTACGCTCATCTTCCTCACTCTGTCTATTTTTTCTCTTATTTCTTTCTTTCTGCTCAATTTCTTTTACATTGATTTCAATTTCAATTTGCAAAAATCGCTTGTAACTTATTCCCCAATTGTTTATATATTTTAACACTTTCAATTGCATTGATTGTAAACCTTAGTTCTTGTTTTACACACTTCAGAATATGCTGTGTTAAGACAGCAACTTCATATTCATCATCAAATTTTATCTTATTTTTTTCTTTCCATATCTGCCACTTTGTAGTAAAGACAAACACATTGATTATTGCATTATATTCTTGGTTTAAATTACAGCTTCCTAACATTACATTTTTCTCAGTTATTTGGTATATTTGATTTGAATTTGATATTTCCTGTAAGGCTTTGTTTATCAATGAGTCAACTGTCTTCCAAATTTCTGTTATTTTATTACATCTGAAGAATGAATGAATTTGATTTTTCCTGAACTAAATGACAAAGTGTACATAAACCGTTTGACAGTCTCATTTAAAATAATTTTGCCTCCGTAGAAATAATATTATGTAAGCATTTCCATTGGAAGTCGTTACATTTCCTGTTTGCTATAGATGATTTTAAAGAAGTCCAAAATTTAACCCAATCTATGTCATCATTTTGATAAACAGCATCCCAGCTATTTTGTGATTTGGGATAGTATTTCTTATTCAAAATTAGTTCTTTCATTATTTTACTCTTTAATCTATTCGGATCTATTACTTCATCGTTTTTATTAATTTTTATGTGTAGTTCATCAGTTACAACTATGGG